TTCTTCTTTTTTTTTTAATCCATTCAGTCACTCTGTGCCTTTTGATTGAAGAGTTTAGCCCATTTATATTCAGTGATACTATTCATAAGTAAGAACTTTTATTCCTACCATTTTGGTATTTGTTTTCTGGTTGTTTTATGGTCTTTTCTTCCTTCTTTCCTTCCTTCCTGTCTTCCTAGTAGTAAAGGTGATTTTCTCTGGTGGCACGTTTTAATTTCTTAATTTTTATTTTTTGTGTATCTATTGTATGTTTTTAGATTCGAGGTTACGTCAGGCTTGCAAATAATATAATCCATTATTTTAAACTGATGACAACACTGATTACATAAACAAACCAACAAGCAAAAATAAAACTAATAAAAACACTCTACATTTTAACTTTGTCTCCCCACTTTGTTGTACTATGTCTTGAACAATTGTTATTGTTTTTGTTTCATGTTTTTATCTTTCTGCTGGATATGAGTAGTTTACATACCGCAATTACAGTGTTATAATATTATGTGTTTTTCTGTGTACTTACTATTACCAGTGAGTTTTGTACCTTTAGATGATTTCGTATTGCTCATTAACATCTTTTCTTTCTGATTGAAGAACTCCCTTTAGCATTTCTTGTAGGACAGGTCTGGTGTTTATGAAATTCCTCAGCTTTTGTTTGTCTGGGAAAGTCTTTATTTCTCCTTCCTGTTTGAAGGATATTTTTGCTGAATATGCTATTCTAGGTTGAAAGTTACTTTCTTTCAGCACTTCAAATATATTCTGACACTCTCTCCTATCCTGTAAAGTTTCTACTGAAAAGTCTGCTGCCAGACATATTGGGGGCTCCATTATATGTTATTTGTTTCTTTTCTCTTCTTGCTGCTTTTAGGATTCTTTCTTTTTCTTTTTTTTTGAGACGGAGTTTCGCTCTTGTTGCCCAGGCTGGAGTGCAATGGTGCGATCTGGGCTCACCACAACCTCCTCCTCCCGGGTTCAAGCGATTCTCCTGCCTCAGCCTTCCCGAGTAGCTGGGATTACAGGCATGTGCCACCACGCCCGGCTAATTTTGTATTTTTGGTAGAGACAGGGTTTCTCCATGTTGGTCAGGCTGGTCTCGACTTCTTGACCTCAGGTGACCCACCCTACTCAGCCTCCCAAAGTGCTCAATTACAGGCGTGAGCCACAGTGCCTGGCCTAGGATCCTTTCTTATTCCTTGACTTTGAGAGTTTGATTATTAAATGTGTTGAGGTAATCTTCTTTGGGTTAAACCTGCTTGGTATTCTGCAACCTTTTTTTTTTTTTTTTGGAGATGGAGTCTCATTTTTCTTGCCCAGGCTGGAATGCAGTGGCACAGTCTTGGCTCACTGCAACCTCTGCCTCCCAGGTTCAAGCAATTCTCCTGCCTTAGCCTCCTGAGTAGCTGGGATTACTGGCATGAGCCACCATCCCGAGCCCCATGTTCCATAACTTTCTTGTACTTGAATATTGGTACCTATTTCTGTGTCTCGGAAGTTTCCTGTTATCCCTTTGAATTAACTTTCTACCTTGCCTCTCCTCTCTACCTCCTTTTTAAGGCCAAAAATGCTTAGATTTGCCCTTTTGAGCCTGTCTTCTAGATCTTGTAGGCATGCCTCATTTCTTTTTTATTTTTTTTTTCTTTTGTCTCCCCTGTTTTCAAATATCCTGTTTTCAAGCTCATTGATTCTGCCTTCTGCTTTATCTGTTCTGCTATTAAAAGGCTGATGCGGCTGGACACAGTAGCTCGTGCATGTAATCCCAGCACTTTGGGAGGCCGAGGTGGGTGGATCACTTGAGCTCAGGAGTCTGAGACCAGCTGGGCGACATCATGAAACCCCATCTCTACAGAATATAGAAAAATTAGCTTGACATGGTGGTTTGTGCCTGTGGTCCCAGCTTCTTGGGGGGTCTAAGGGGAGAGGATGGCTTTAGCCTGGGAGACGGAGGTTGCAGTGAGCCGAGATTGCACCACTGCACTCCAGCTTGGGTGACAGAGTGACAGAACAAGACTCTGTTTCAAAAAAGGAAAAAAAAAGGGTTGGGCATGGTGGCTGACACCAGTAATCCCAGCACTTTGGGAGGCTGAGGCGGGTGGATCACTTTAGGTCAGGAGTTCAAGACGAGCCTGAACATGTGAAGCCTCGTCTCTACTAAAAATACACAATTAGCTGGGTGTGGTGGTGCATGCCTGTAATTCCAGCTACTTGGGACGGTTAGGCAGGAGAATTGCTTGAACTCAGGAGGCAGAGGTTGCAATGAGCTGAGATTGTGCCATTGCACTCTAGCCTGGGCAACAAGAGCGAAACACCGTCTCCAAAAAACAAAGACTGATGCATTCTTGAGTATGTCACTTGCATCTTTCCACTCCAGAATTTCTGCTTAATTCTTTTTAATTATTTCAAGTATTTGTTGAACTTACCTGATAGGATTCTGAATTCCTTCTCTGTGTTATCTTGAATTTCTTTCAGTTTTCTGAAAACAGCTATTTCGAATTCTCTAACTGAAAGGTCACATATCTTTCTCTGCAGGATTGACCCCTAGTGCCTAATTTAGTTCATTTGGTGAGGGTATGTATTCCTGGATGGCCTTAATGCTTGTGAGTGTTCATTGCCATCTGTACGTTGAAGAGTCAGGTATTTATTATAGTCTTCACAGTCTGGACTTGGTCCTGTACCATTCTTATTGGATGGCCTTAATGCGCTTGTGGAGTGTTCATTGCCATCTGTACGTTGAAGAGTCAGGTATTTATTATGAGTCTTCACAGTCTGGACTTGTTTGTACCATTCTTATTGGAAGGCATTCCAAGTATTCAAAGGGAAATAGAGTGTTGCGATCTATGTCATCCTGGTCACTGCTAACCATATCTGCATTAGCGGGTACCCCAAACCCAGTAATGCGCGTAGTTTTTCCTACACTCATAAGAGGTACCATCCTTGGTGGTCTTGATAAGGTCCAGAAATTCTCGTATTACCAGACTCTGTATTACCATTCTTTCTTCCCTTTTCCTCAGGGGGGAGTTGCTCCTGTGCCACCAGCACCACAGGACCCATGGGGGAGGGAGTATTGCCAAGGGTACCACCAATGTCCACTTTAAGGCCCAAGGCTCCTCCCAGGTCAGCTTACGCTGCATGCTGCAGGCCTGGGAATGCAACCTTCAGGGTAGTGGGTTCCCCTCTGTTCCAGGGGATGGTCCAGAAAAATGCATCCAATGAGCCAAGGCTGGGATCATTACCCAATAGCCCCCTGCTACTCTTCCCCAGTGCAACCAAGCTGGTCCCTAAGCTGCAAAGACAGAATCCCCTTTACTCTTCCTCTCCTTTTCTCAAACAGTAGTCTCTCCTGGTAGCCACTACCAGCTGTGAACTATGCTGTGTCATACCTGAAGCCAATATGTCTCACCAGTTTCACCTGAGGCCCCATGGTGAGGCCCTGTTACCACTGCTGATTATTCAGGGCTCAGGGCTCTATAGTGAGCAAAATCATGAAATCCTAAAGGACTACTTTAAATAAGAAAATTCTGTGTTGTTTTTTTGTTTGTTAGAAAGTAGAATCTCCTGTTCTGTTCCCAGACTGGAGTGCAGTGATGCAAATATAAGCTCACTGCAGCCTCGAACTCCTGGGCTCAAACAGTCTTCCTACTTCAGCCCTCCAACAGTAGATGGGACTACAGGCACATGCCACCGTGCCCCAATAAACTTTTAAAATTTTTCTGTAGTGACAGTCTTGCTTTGTTGCCCAGACTGATCTTTTAACTCCTGTACTCAAGCGATCCTCCTACCCAGGCCTCCCAAAATACTGGGAATTACAGGGCATGAGCCACCTGTATGTTTGTTTGTTTGTTTGTTTGAGACAGTCTCTCTCTGTTGCCTAGGCTGAGTACAGCAGGGTGATCATGGCTCACTGTAGTCTGCCTCCAGTCTCCTGAGTACTTGGACCTATAGGTGTGTGCCACCCCTCCTGGCTAATTTTTAAAAAAATGTTTATTATCACAAGGTCTGCTATGTTGCCCCAGGCTGGTCTTAAAACTCCTGGGATCAAGTGATCCTTCCACCTTGGCGCCATCAAAGTGTTGGAATTTACAAGTGTGAGCCACCGTACCCCGCCAGTTTTTTTATTTGATTGCTGACATGTTTTTTTAAAAAAAAACAAGAGAAATGTTCTTTACTCCAGGTAATTTATTTTGTGTAAGAACTAAACCTGTTAATGTAATTTGTTTTGTTTATTCAGAGTAACAGCATCTTTAACCATCAACAAATTTGTAATTCTTGCTTTTTGAAAAATGTGGTGTCTAGGCCGGCGCGGCTGGCTCAAGCCTGTAATCCCAGCACTTTGGGAGCTGAGAACGGGTGGATCACAAGGTCAGGAGATCAAGACCATCCTGCTAACACGGTGAAACCCTGTCTCTACTGAAAAATCACAAAAAAAAAAACTAGCCGGCTGAGGTGGCAGGCGCCTGTAGTCCTAGCTACTCGGGAGGCTGAGGCAGGAGAAATGGCTTGAACCCGGGAGCGCAGCTTGCAGTGAGCTGACATCCGGCCACTGCACTCCAGCCTGGGCGACAGAGCGAGACTCTGTCTCAAAAACAAAAAAAAAGAAAAATGTGGTGTCCAAGAGCATATTATTGGACTTATTACCAACTATACAGCATGTTATTTTCTGTATCTTTCCCTCCAAGTAGGCTAACTTGAAGTTACATATTTATTTTTAATCAGGGTACCCTTAGTTATTTAGTTCACATTGAACCTTGAAAAGGTAATTCTTAATTTTATTATTTGAATGTGTAGTTCGGAAACTTAAGGGACAAGGGTAGGTGTTTGATTCTTATATTGTTAATTTTGTCTTTCCGATCATGATTCCTACTCTCTTTTTGCCTGCTAGGTACATATCGGTTGCTAATTGTGTTTTTGCTGTGGTGAAGTATTTGAAATGTTTACATATTATTCGTTGATTCTAAATAATTTAACACGTTTTTAATATATTTGGTTTTTCTTTCCCTCTCTACCAGATCAAACTTGGACATAGATCAGAAGCTAAAGATGGTAAGTATTTCATGTAATCTGACAGATAGGAAAAGTTTTATCCTTTTTTTTAAAAAAAGGACAAGGTCTTGCTCTGTCACCCAGGCTGGAGTATAGAGACACAATCGTAGCTCACTGCAGCCTCAAGCTTCTGTACTCAAGCACTTAATTCTACCACCTCAGCCTCCTGAGTAGCTAGGGCTATAAACATATGCCACCACTTGTGGTTAATGTTTTATTTTTTGTAGAGATGGGGTTTGGCTGTGTTACTCAGGCTTCTCTCAAACTCCTGGCCTCAAGCTATCCTCCCACCTCGGCCTCCCAAAGTGCTGGAATTACAGGCTTGAGCCACCATGCCCAGCATAAAGTTTTCATTCTCACTGAAGAAACTAGCAAAGTATTAATTAATAAGAGTTAGCAATGGTTCTGGATAGAGTTACTGCAGTGTCCCCAAAGAGTAAAGATAGACTCAGGATAGAGGAGTAGTATTTGGTGATTTTTACCAATTGGATGTTCAGAAAAACATTCCAAATCACCCACATAAATGGAAGGCAGCAAGCTTAATTAGTTTGTCTTTCTGTCTTCATTACGGTTTTACGTGTTACAAGCCATTGTTTTTTCTGTTTCTGAGTTTCTAATTACTTTGAAAATTCAGGATACATTTTCATGAAAGTACATAAAGCTAACTATGGAATAGATATATGGGGAAAAGATTTCATTAAACTTTCTTCCAAAGTCTTATTTATTAGGAGTCATCATAAAATAGCTCTTATAAAAGAGACCCATTGTCTGTGTAAGTGCCAATACTATATCTTATTTTTATTTTATTTATTTATTTTTGAGACAGTGCCATGCTCTGTTGCCCAGGCTGGAGTGCAGTGGCGCGATCTCAGCTCACTGCAACCTCTGCCTCCCGGGGTCAAGCCATTCTCCTGCCTCAGCTTCCTGAGTAGCTAGGATTACAGGTGCGTGCCACCACGCCCAGCCAATTTTTTGTATTTTTAGTAGAGATGGGGTTTCACCATGTTGGCCAGGCTGGTCTCGATCTACTGGCCTCAAGTGATCTGCCCACCTAGGCCTCCCAAAGTGCTGGAATTATGAGCCACTGCACCTGGCCTATATCTTATTTTTAATTTTGAAATCTGTCATTTGTATTGGAATATATACTGTCTTATTAGTAGTTTGCTTTTAGCACAAACAATATGCCACTAACATTTGTAGGGCAAGAGTAGGGAAGCTTATCATCTATATGCTGCACACTTATATATGTTCTTAGTCTAATGGTCTTCAGATCCTGATATCCTATAGATAAAGTGAATTTTTTTTCACCATTTGTCATAGTCTTTGTTAAGCTATTTTTTAAAAAAAGCAATATAGGCCTGGTACGGTGGCTCACGCCTGTAATCCCAGCACTTTGGGAGGGTGAGGCGGGTAGATCGCCTGAGCTCGGGAGTTCGAGACCAGACTGGCCAACATAGCAAAACCCTGTCTCTAACAAAAGTACAAAAAATTAGCCAGGCGTGGAGGCACGCACCTGTGGTCCCAGCTACTCGGGAGGCTGAGGTGGGAGAATCACTTGAATCTGGGAGGTGGAGGCTGCAGTGAGCTAAGATCATGCCACTGCACTGCAACCTGGCTGACAGAGTGAAACCCCATCTCAAAAAAAATTAATAATAAAAATAAAGCAATGTAAAAGAACAACAGATTTCACATAAAAATTGTCAAAGTAGCCTTATTTTTGTATGGAATGTTCACTATTTTCTGAGGTGACTAACCTTTCTTTAAACATATGTGTTTGTGGCCGGGCGCGGTGGCTCACACCTGTGATCCCAGCACTTTGGGAGGCCGAGGCGGGTGGATCACGAGGTCGGGAGTTCGAGACCAGCCTGACCAACATGGTGAAACCCTGTCTCTACTAAAAATACAAAAATTAGCTGGGCGTGGTGGCGCATGCCTGTAATCCCAGCTACTCAGGAGGCTGAGGCAGGAGAATTGCTTGAACCCGGGAAGTGGAGGTTGCAGTAAGCTGAGATCACGTCACTGCACTCCAGCCTGGACAACAGAGTGAGACTCCATCTCAAAAAAAAAAAAAATGTGTTTTTAAGGTTTGAGATTTCAGAATTACTCACATTTTGCTTTGCCTTTTTATATAGGTATAAATAGAACAGCCTTAAGAGAGATAAAATTATTACAGGAGCTAAGTCATCCAAATATAATTGGTGTGAGTATGATCAAAACTGTTACTGGGATTTGGGACTCTGCCTTTTCTTAATATAATGGATGTTGATTAAAGGCTCAGCAAGATGATTTGTTCTAGATGAGCCTTACAGAAGCTTAAAGGAAATACATTTCCTATCCCAGTTGTTTTGGTAGACGTTGTCTTTAAAACTATACCACTGATAAATAAATGAAATATTGACATGTAGGCTAATTTTGTCAGAAATAATTTTGAAGTCTAGGGAACTCTAGCATATAGTGGCTGAGAGTGTGAACCTGAATTCAAAACCTTTCTTTCTGCCTGTGTGAGACCTTGAGTGTGTTTACTCACAACTCCCCGGAGTCCCTGCCTCATAGGGTAGTTGTGAGACTAGCCAATTGAACAGATGTATCTGGAATAGTGCCTGCCATGGAAAATGTATTCATTCATTCAATGATAGCCGCTGTTATTTAGAGGAGTTCTTAAGAATCACATTTGGGACTTTTCTTTTAAATTGGAGACTGGAATGAGGTTTTCACTGGTTAATTTCTTAATTATAACTCCAAATATTTGGGGAAAGAGGTTGGGTATTTTTTTTAAGTAAAATTTAATATTTTTGTGCTTCAAAATACTGATTCCTTTAGTACTGTCCAAAAAAGGAAAATGTCAAATTAATCAGATGATTTAAGCTTTATAGGGAATTACCAACAGTTTAAATGCTTTTTAAATTTTAAAAAATTGCCTCAGTTGCTATCATACTGTCAGGTATTAAATAGTGAATCACATTTTAATTTTTTTACTTTGCAGCTCCTTGATGCTTTTGGACATAAATCTAATATTAGCCTTGTCTTTGATTTTATGGAAACTGATCTAGAGGTAAGATTAAGATTCCTGGAGAAATTCCTTTGTCCCAGTTTATCAAACAAGAACCTAGATATTTGTTTTCTACCTGAGAAGATACTGCTAGTAAAAGGAAAAAAAAAGCTTAATTTTGTTGAAATTTGGATATACTCTGAGTCAAAAGGATCTCTTGAGTTATTTTCTTCTAATCATTTAGTGATATTCCCACTGTTACATACAAAGATTTGGATTTCATTGGCCTTTCTGCCTTCCAAGTTCCCATAGCTAGTTGACGTCATTTTTGGAGAAATGAGCATTAGACCTATAAGTTTTTTTTTTTTTTGAGATGGAGTCTTACTCCATCCTGGAGTGTAATGGCATGATCTCAGCTCGCTGCAGCCTTCACCTCCTGGGTTCAAGTGATTCTCTCACTTCAGCCTCCCAAGTAGCTGGGATTACAGGTGCCATGCCAGCATGCCTGGCTAATTTTTATATTTGAAGTAGAGACGGGGTTTCACCATGTTGGCCAGGCTGGTCTTGAACTCCTGACCTCAAGTGATCCACCCTCCTCAGCCTCCCAAAGTGCTAGGATTACAGGCATGAGTCACCATGCCCAGCCAACGTATAAGAATTTTAAGTTTATTTCCAGACAGGTGCAGTGACTCACGCCTGTACTCTGAGCACTTTGAGAGGCCAAGGCAAGAGGATTGCCTAAGCCCAGGAGTTCAAGACCAGCCTGGTTAGTAAGATCCTGTCTCTACTTTAAAAATTATATTAAAAAATAAAGAAGCTTATTTCCATGTAACCAGAGTAATGTCATTCTTTTGAAAGCCAAGTTTGTTTTGTTTTTTGTTTTTTGTTTTTGAGACAGAGTTTCGCTCTGTTACCCAGGCTGGAGTGCAGTGGTAAGATCTCGACTCACTGCAACCTCTGCCTCCCAGGTTCAAACAATTCAACTGCCTCAGCCTCCCGAGTAGCTGGGATTACAGGTGCCTGCCACCATGCCTGGATAATTTTTGTATTTTTAGTAGATACGGAGTTTCACCATATTGGCCAGGCTGATCTTGAACTCCTAACCTCATGATCCACCTGCCTCAGCCTCCCAAAGTGCTGGGATTACAGGCGTAAGCCAGCATGCCCAGCCCCATAGCTGGAATTCTTATACACTGCTGGTGAGAAAGCAGTGAAATGATAAAGCCACTTTGGAAACAGCTTGGCAGTTTCTTATACAATTAAATACACACCAGTCAAATTAAAGCAAAAAAAGATTTCACACAACACATTATCAGAAAGTAATAGGAACACACTAAATGCTCAGACTGGTGGTGATTGAGTCCATAGCCTATTGTGATAGGTCCTTCCAGCATCAGTACCCCTAGTATTGTGATCTATAATAGCATCACTAATATTGTGATTGATAATACTATCAATAATCTTGTGATCTAGCAATACCTCTGCTAGGTATTTATCTAAAAGAAAGAGGCCGGGCACAGTGGCTCACACCTATAATCCCAGCACTTTGGGAGGCTGAGGCAGGCAGATCGCCAGAGGTCAAGAGTTTGAGACCAACCCGTCCAGCATAGCGAAACCCCATCTCTACTAAAAATAAAAAAAAAAAAAATTAGCTGGGCGTGGTGGCGGGTGCCTGTAATCCCAGCTACTTGGGAGGCTGAGGCAGGAGAATTAATTGAACCTGGGAGGTGGAGGTTGCAGTGAGCTGAAATTGTGCCACTGCACTCCATCCTGGGTGACAGAGTGAGACTCCCATCTCAAAAAAAAAAAAAAGCCGAATTCAGTTGGTACACAGATGTTGGGCTTTATTAATAATTGTCAAAACCGGAACAATCCAAACATCCCTCATTCTGACTGTACAAACAAACTGAAATACTACTCAGGTATAGAAACAAACTATTGATAACTGCAACAACATAGATGAATCTGAAATGCATTATGCTGAGTGAAAGAAGCCAGGCTAAAAAGACTATGTATTGAATCATTTCATTTATATGATATTCTGGAAAAGGCAAAACAAAAGGAACCAGAAACCAGATCAGTGGTTATGGGAACTTTGGGGTAAAGGAAAGGAGTAAGTACAGAGGGGCCTCAGGGAATTTTGGGAGGTTACGGAACTATGCTTTGATTATAGTGGTGGTTACATGACTGGATACATTTGTCAAAATGCATGGAACTATACACTAAAAAGGGTATGCTTTACCTTAAATCTGATTTTAAAAAAAGAAAAGGGGAACTTTTAGTTCCTAACTGATAAATCTAGAAATAAACTGACATTAGGCACAGCTCACAAATAATGCCATCAAAACTCAGTCTTACACTTTAACTCAGCTCTGTTTTCTTCTCTGTTGCCTTCTTCATGTGTACAGTTCTCAATATGGTGTTCCAGATACTTCTAGGTATATGTTTGTAGAGTTTAATAATACCTGAGGAATGAAAGTGCTTTCTTTTCTTTGATTCTAGCACACTTGTCTTGTATCCCTGAACCAGTCACTTGGCCAGGAGACTGCAGTGTGATAATGGGGATGCCTGGGTCATGTGCCTACCTCTGGAGGCCTTAGGTTGGCTCAGTCCTACCTTAACCATGTGGACTAAGCTGAGAAGAGATGGCTTCCCAAAGGAACACTAAATGCTATTGTTAGAAGCATTTAGAAGATGCAAGCAAAAACAACAGGTGTTTGCTACTTTCATGCGAAAGCAGTAGAGGACAAAGTACTGCTTTCTTTCCAAACCAGAAATGCTCTCCCTACCCATCTAACTCTGGAGATTCTGACAGTGCTTCCTGAGGAAACTTAGATAACCTCTCTTGAGAGTCTCCTGTATTGATACTTATATTTTAAGTCTATAAATTGTTTTATATGGTAGAGTTTATTTGAAATAATAAAGGGTACCTGTATATTGTATACTTGCTTTACAGGTTATAATAAAGGATAATAGTCTTGTGCTGACACCATCACACATCAAAGCCTACATGTTGATGACTCTTCAAGGATTAGAATATTTACATCAACATTGGATCCTACATAGGGTAAGGTTTTTAATATTGCTTCTTTATAGCAGTCAAGTTTTATAGAGCCAATTTAGTACATAATGGTCTGAACATGTAAATTGTGTAACAATATGAATTTAAAGCTGACCGTTTTATCCCATCTTTTACCTATATATTGTTCTCTTCAGTTGTTCCAGCAGTTGGTGCTGTGAGGACTCCATATTACTTTGTGAAATTTAGAACTAGAAGAGATCCAGTCCTTCATTTTTTTTTTTTTTTTTTGAGTTGGAATCTTGTTCTGTCACCCAGGACGGAGTGTAGTGGCACCATCTTGGCTCACTGCAAGCTCCATCTCCTGGATTCACGCCATTCTCCTGCCTCAGCCTCCCGAGTAGCTGGGACCACAGGCGCCCACTACCATGCCCAGCTAATTTTTTGTATTTTTTTAGTAGAGATGGGGTTTCACTATGTTAGGCAGGATGGTCTCAATCTCCTGAACTCATGATCCGCCCGCCTCGGCCTCCCAAAGTGCTGGGATTACAGGCATGAGCCACCGTGCCCAGCCCCCTCATTTTTTTTTTTTTTTTTTTTGAGACGGAGTCTTGCTCTGTCGCCCAGGCTGGAGTGCAGTGGCGTGATCTCGGCTCACTGCAAGCTCCACTTCCCGGGGTTCACACCATTCTCCTGCCTCAGCCTCCCGAGTAGCTGGGACTAGAGGCACTCGCCACCAAGCCTGGCAATTTTTTTTTTTTGTATTTTTAGTAGAGATGGGGTTTCACCATGTTAGAATGGTCTTGATCTCATGACCTCATGATCTGCCTGCCTCGGCCTCCCAAAGTGCCGGATTACAGGCATGAGCCACCGCGCCCAGCCCCGGCCCCGGCCCCGGCCCCCTCATTTTATAATAGACGAAGAGCTAAGTTGCTAAGTGACCTGGCCATGGTTATTTTTTTTTCAAGGTTAGCTGCTGATAACAGACAGAGTATTAAAACATGGGTTTTGGCCCAGGCGCAGTGACTCACTTCTGTGTTCCCAGCACTTTGGGAGGCCGAGGCAAGCAGATATCTCGAGCCCAGGAGTTCTAGACCAGCCTGGGCAATATAGTGAAAACTCATACAGAAATTAGGTGGGTGTGGTGGTGCACACCTGTAGTCCCAGCTGCTCAGGAGGCTGAGGTCGGGGAATCACCTGAGCCCAGGAGGCGGGGGTTGCAGTGAGCTGAGACCTCACCACTGCACTCTAGCCTGGGTGACAGAGTGAAACCCTGTCTCAAAAAAACAAAAAAGAAAATAGGTCTTTTGGCTTTAAGTTCAGTATTCTTTGCGCTACAATGTTGTTGTGGGGGAAGAAACACAGTTATAGTGATTGTCTTGGATTAACTCATACAATGCCAAAATACAACTAGAAAAGTAATGTTTCTTGTAGCTCTGAAATTCAAGGTACAAAATACAGTTTATGAAATAGTGGGAACATTCAGCTTTTAGAACAAAGCTGATAATTTAGCTAGGTAGATGCTAGCTACTTATCTAAATAGCTAGGTAGCTATTTACCTAAATAGCTACGTAGCTATTTACCTAAATAGTTATTTACGTAAATATAACCAATTCAATTTTGCTTTGATGGGATTTTATATCAGTGGAAAAAATACTGATTTTTTAGATTTCAGGTGTTACCCTGTTTTTGCTAAATTTAAAGTTATGCCAACTAAATGTAGCACTACAGTGTTCTCCCCTACCCTGCTTATTTGTTTGTTTAAAACTTCTGTCATATAGGATCTGAAACCAAACAACTTGTTGCTAGATGAAAATGGAGTTCTAAAACTGGCAGATTTTGGCCTGGCCAAATCTTTTGGGAGCCCCAATAGAGCTTATACACATCAGGTTGTAACCAGGTAAGAATCCCTTAAAGCTACATGTGCAGGAGGTTAATCAGAAATGAGCATCAACTGGCTTCTCTGAAATATCTTGGCAGAGTTAAGGAATCATTGTTGATCGATATCCTCTTAAAAAATACTGCCATTTGGCCAGGCGTGGTGGCTCACGCCTGTAATCCCAGCACTTGGGGAGGCCGAGGCAGGCGGATCACGAGGTCAGGAGTTCAAGACCAGCCTGGCCAATATGGTAAAATCCCGTCTCTACTAAAAATACAAAAAAATTAGCCAGACGTGGTGTGGTGGTACACGCCTGTAACCCTAACTACTCAGGAGACTAAGGCAGGGGAAATTGCTTGAACCTGAGAGGCAGAAGTTGCAGTGAGCTGAGATTGCGCCACTGCACTCCAGCTTGGGTGACAGAGAAAGACTCCCTCTCAGAAAAAAAAAAAAAAAAACTGCCGTTTTTATGTTAGGTATACTTTACCGCGATGAAAAAATACACAGCCCTTTTTCAGACAGAGTTTAGCTCAATCCTAAGACATTTACCTTGTAAATGGAAACAATTTATACTTTTAGTTAGATAATCTAGAATTTCAGTGGCTATTCTTCTACCTAATCATCTGATTTATTGGACCCATGTTTATTATTATGTTGATCAGTCTTGATTCTGTATCCTATGTAAAGGAAAATTCTCTCAACAGAGCAATGTCTTGATATTTGAATTTTTCATATTGATAATTATATTTCCATTTGTATTTTTGATGTGTAAAAACAGAAAATCACATTAAATAGGAATGACAGATTTTATAATTTTTGTCCCAATGACATTTTGTTAATTTCCAAGACCCTTTTAAGGATCTGCAAAGATTTTCAAATTCTCTATTTTTTCTTTCTGTTTTTTGAGACAGGATCTCACTCTGTTGCCCAGGCTGAAGTATGGTTGTGCAAACAATACTCACTGCTGCCTTGACCTCCTGGGTTCAAGCGATCCCCCTATCTCAGCCTCCCGAGTATCTGGGGCCACAGGCATACCCCACTATGGCTGGCTAATTTTTTAAAGTTTTTATAGAGATGGGTTTCACCATGTTGCCCAGGCTGGTCTCAAAGTCCTGCACTCAAGCAATCCTCCCACCTCAGTCTCCAGTAGTTCTAGGATTACAGGTGTGAGCCATTGTGCCTGGCCCCAAATTCTCTATTTTAAATTATTTCACCACCTTCTTCCAAATAGATGTCACTGAGTATAAATCACCTAAGCCCTGAGGAGGAAGTGGGGGATGTGAGTAATTGTTTATGTAATTGCTAGAAGAGTTAAGCTCATCATTCAGGAACTCATAGAAACAGGGACCTGTGTACAAGAGCATTGTTAACTGGTGCTTTCTCATCTACCAGTTTCTCATATTTTCTCTGTCTGTAAATCAAATACTGCTGGTAAGTCAAATTAAGATGAAGACTCTGAGAACTGACAGTGGGATTTAGGAGTGTGGACATGACTGATAAGCTTGATAAGAGCAGTTTTGGTGGAATGGTAAGGATGAAAGCCTGATTGAAAAGGTTCTTGTGCGTGTGTTTTGTTTTGTTTGAGACAGAGTCTCGCACTGTTGCCCAGGCTGGCGTGCAATGACGCGATCTCTGCTCACTTCAACCTCCGCCTCCCGGGATCAAGCAATTCTCCTGCCTCAGCTTCCCAAGTAGCTGAGACTACATAGCTGAGACTACAGGCGCCTGCCACCACACCCAGCTAATTTTTTGTATTTTTAGTAGAGATGGGGTTTCACTATGTTGGCCAGGCTGGTCTCAAATTCCTGACCTCATGATCCGCCCACCTCAGCCTCCCAAAATACTGGGATTACAGGTGTGAGCCACCATGTCTAGCCTGGAAAGTTTTTTTTGTTGTTGTTGTTTTTTGTTTGTTTGTTTGAGAGGAAGTCTTGCTCTGTTGCCCAGGCTGGCAACAGAAGTCTTGCTCTGTTGCCCAGGCTGGAGTGCAGTGGCATGATCTCGGCTCACTGCAGCCTCCGCCTCCAGGGTTCAAGTGATTTTTCTGCCTCAGCCTCCCAAGTAGCTGGGACTACAGGCATGCACCACCACACCCGGCCAATTTTTGTACTTTTAGTAGAGATGGAGTTTCACCATGTTGGCCAGGCTGGTCTCGAACTCCTGACCTCATGATCTGCCTGCCTCTGCCTCCCAAAGTGCTGGGATTACAGACGTGAGCCATAGCTCCCGGCCTGAAAAGGTTTTAAGACAGGATGGGAGAAAAGGAATTGGAGATAGTAAGAATAGACAATTCTTTGAACTAACCAGAGAATGAGGAGGCACCTGTTAGGGGAGATAGGGTCCAAAGAAGTTTAAGGCTGGAAAAATACTAGTATGTTTGTGCATTGCTGGGAAAGGTCTAGTAGAAAACAAAAGACTGATGATGTAGGAGAAAAAGGAGAGAACTGCAAGAGTATTAAAACTTCACAGAAGAGTATGGTATGCAGTCCTTAAAATAAGGGATTGACTTTAAAAACAGACAAGGATCATTCATCTCTAAGAAGTGTTTTGATAATTTCATGCTAAAATGATACTAATTTTTGTTCTTTAGGTGGTATCGGGCCCCTGAGTTACTATTTGGAGCTAGGATGTATGGTGTGGGTGTGGACATGTGGGCTGTTGGCTGTATATTAGCAGAGTTACTTCTAAGGGTAAGTCTAAATTAATGTACACACTTTAATATTGTTGTTGCAGTTATTTGTTCTTACAGTTTGTATAAGAATTCTTGTCCTAGGCCAGGTATGGTGGCTCACACCTGTAATCCCAGCACTTTGGGAGGCCAAGGCAGGAGGATCACTTGAGGTCACGAGTTCGAGGCCAGCCTGGCCAACATGGTGAAACCCCATCTCTACTAAAAATAAAAAAATTAGGTGGGTGTGGTGGCGGGTGCCTGTAGTCCCAGCTACTAGGGAGGCTGAGACAGGAGAATCGCTTGAACCTGGGAGGCAGAGGTTGCAATGAGCCAAGGTCGTGCCACTGCATTCCAGCCTGAGCAAAAGAACAGGGTTCCATCTCAAAAAAAAAAAAAAAAAAAAGAATTCTTGTCCTACCAATGTCCTTATAACAAAAAGCCTACAAATAGTCCAATTTTTAAAAAGCCAAATGCCGCTTTTTTTTTTTTTTTTTTTTTGAGATGGAATCTGGCTCTGTGGCCCACGCTGGAGTGCTGTGGCGCGATCTCGACTCACTGCAAGCTCCGCCTCCTGGGTTCATGCCATTCTCCTGCCTCAGCCTCCCGAGTAGTTGGGACTACAGGCGCCTGCCACCACGCCCGGCTAATTTTTTGTATTTTTTAGTAGAGACGGGTTTTCACCGTGTTAGCCAGGATGGTCTCAATTTCCTGACCTCGTGATCCACCCGCCTCAGCCTCCCAAAGTGCTGGGATTACAGGCGTGAGCCACCGCGCCCGGCCCAAATGCAGCATTTTTAAATGTTAATATGAAATGAGAATATCTTCCATTTAGGACAGTAAGAACTTTGTTGTAGATAGTTTTATACCTCAGAACATAGAAATTCACTTGTAATATGGCAGTAGCTCTATAATAATTAAATATGTTCAGATAAACTTTTGTCCTTCTGAGGGGTTTTTTGTTTGGGGGTGTTTTAAGTATGCTTTAGGAGATACGTAATACCAACCACTGCAGCTACCACTCTTAAACTTAAACCTTGTGTGAGACCATTATTTTAGTTCTGTTGAAACAGAACGGATACAATGTTACTACAGCATTTCTGTGACTGAGACCATCATCTTACAGAAAAAAATCCCCTACTTCCCCTCACCAGAGAGAAAGATGCTGTCTTGGAACCTTTCTTTAGCTATAAAGTTTAGATCTCCAGAAAGACTAGCCCTTATGAATGATGAAGGTAAAGGGATATTGGGGAATCCTTCTGAAACTGGGAGTTTTTTTCTCTCCATATTCTGATCCCTGCTCTCCCTCTCCTCAAGCCATACGTATTTAAAGAAATTCAAACCAAGATTGAATAGCTTTTTTTATCTCCTTGAACACAGAAAACAACTTCTGTACACCGAAGAGAAAAACACTAAACTAAAAATGTTTAGTTTAAGCATAGTGGTGGCTCTTGCCTGTAGTCCCAGCTACTTCGGAAGCTGAGGTGGGAGGATCACTTGAACCCAGGAGTTTGAGGCCAGCCTGGACAATATAGAAAGACCCCAATCTCTTAAAATAAAAAAAAAAAAAAGTAAATTCTGTGTATCATTTTGAGAAACGTACCCAATGGGCATTTGTAGAAGAAACCCCCACATTCAAACTTGGAAGGCAATATGGGAATCACAGTGCTAACAGGGGGTCCTATGAATCAGCTGGCATGATAGCTCTGCTACTTATATGAACAAGAGTATACCAGAAATCACACTGAGAATGTATCAGCCACCACAATCCATTCATGGCCAAGAAGAAAACAGAATTCCATAGCCCCTAATATTATGACTGATCACTCCATTGAAAAAGCAAGTGAAGAGAGAGAGCAGTTGAGAATACACAGGTTAGAGATTGTGAACCTGTTAACATACTTGGAAATTTGTTAGCCATTGGCATTGTTGCTGGAATCATGTTTAAAGTTATAAGGAAAATGACATGCAGACTAAAGAATAGTACTCTTCTGCCATACTTTTTGTCCTATTTTAAGCTGTCCCTGTGCTCATTTGAAAAGGTAGAAATGTTGCCCATATGAATGCTTAGCCAGGGATCACCAGATAGTTATTAAGGATCTTCAGACAGTATTGAATACTCCCAAAATGAAAGGCAGACTGAAACAAACTAAAAAGAAGCTTGGAAAACATGGAAACAACAAAGCAGAAGAAAATTCACCACCCCCAGCCCGCTTTCCAAATAGAGACCTAACAGATTATAGTTCATCTATAGAATAAGCACATCATACTTTTTTTTTTTTTTTTGAGACACAGTCTCGCTCTGTCGCCCAGACTGGAGTGTAGTGGCACGATCTTGGCTCACTGCAACCTCTACCTTCCGGATTCAGGCAATTCTCCTGCCTCGGCCTCCCAAGTAGCTGGGACTACAGGCGCCCGCCACCATGCCCTGCTAATTCTTGTATTTTTAGTAGAGGTGGGGTTTCACCATATTGAGCAGGCTGGTCTTGAGCTCCTGACCTTGTGATCCTCCTGCCTTGGCCTCCCAAAGTGCTGGGATTACAGGCGTGAGCCACTGTGCCCGGCCCACACCATACTTTTTTAAAAGGGAAACAAATAAGAGATACTTGAAATATTAAAAGTAGAGGATAAGCCAAAGGCAAACAAAAACAGCGAAAGGAATGGGAAAGTAAGCTGCAAAACTCTTTCATAAGTAAAATCAAAAGATAAAGAGATGGCCAGGGACAGTGGTACACACCTGTGGTCCTAGCTACGTGGGAGGCTGAGGCAGGAGAATCTCTTGAGCCCAGGAGTTCAAGACCAGCCTGGATAACATTGTGAAACCCTGTCTCAATAAAAAGATAGATGGACTATAGTAGAGAAAAGATAAAATTAACAGATTGATCCAGGATTGATTCTAAAATGTACCAAGAGAAAACAAAGAAAATGGAGGGTAGGAAATCTCAAACTACTGAAGCATTGCTAGATGTGAATCGTCAGACTAAAAGTGCCATGAAGAGTACCATTATGAGGCCGGGTGCCGTAGCTCACGCCTATAATCCCAGCACTTTGGGAGGCCGAGGTGGGCAGATCACCTGAGGCTGGGAATTTGAGACCAGCCTGGCCAACATGGAGAAACCCTGTCTCTACTACAAATACAAAATTAGCCAGGTTTAAGCCGGGTGCGGTGGCGCACGCCTGTAATCCCAGCACTTTGGGAGGCCAAGATGGGCGGATCACGAGGTCAGGAGATTGAGACCATCCTGGCTAACACGGTGAAACCCCGTCTCTACTGAAAATACAAAAAAATTAGCCAGGCGTGGTGGTGGGCGCCTGTAGTCCCAGCTACTCGGGAGGCTAAGGCAGGAGAATGGCGTGAACCTGGGAATCGGAAGTTGCAGTGAGCCGAGATCGTGCCACTGCACTCCAGCCCAGGCGACAGAACGAGACGCCATCTCAAAAAAAAAAGAAAAAAAAAATTGGCCGGGTTTGGTGGCACACACCTGTAATCCCAGCTACTCAGGAGGCTAAGGTAGGAGAATCGCTTGAACCTGGGAGGTGGAGGTTGCAGTGAGCTGAGATCACGCCATCGCACTCCAGCCTGGGCAACAAGAGTGAAACTCTGTCTAAAAAAAAAAAAAAGAAAAAAAAAGAGTACAATTATAAAAATTACAAAGAAAACTTTTTTTAAAGCATTCTAAAGGCTCTGCATAAATAAATGAAAAAACAATACTTGTACCAAGACACAGTATTATGAAATTTCAGAATACAAAGGGATAAGGAAAATATTTCCACAGAGAGGAAAAGTAGCATACATAGAAAAGAAAATAAAGTATTAGGGAGAAAGAATGGCATGAGCCTTCTCAACAGCAGCACTGGACTCTGGAAGTCTTCACATTGTGAGGGAAAATGATGCTCAACCCACAATTCTTTGCCTGTTCATATTTTCAGTTAGCTCTGAGGGTAACTACAGTTTATTACATCAGAAATTTACATCTAGGCCGGGCGGGGTAGCTCACTTCTGTAATCCCAGTACTTTGGGAGGCCAAGGCAGGTGGATTGCTTGAGCTCAGGAGTTTGAGACACACTTGGGCAATGTGGTGAAACCCTGTGTCTACCAAAAATACAAAAATTAGCCGGGCACAGTATTGAGTACCTTTTTTCCCAGCTACTCAGGAGGCTGAGGTGGGAGGATCACCGGAGCCTGGGAATTTGAGGCTGCAGTGAGGTGAGATCATTACACATCACTCCAGCCTGGGTGACAGAGCAAGACACTACCTAAAAAAAAGAGAAAGAGAGAGAAAAAAAATCAAGAAATTAGCCTGACATGGTAGTGCATGCCTGTAGTCCCAGCTGCTTGGGAGGCTGAAGTGGGAGGATTGCTTGAACCTGGGTAACGAGGCTGCAGTGAGCCATGTTTGTGCCACTGCATTCCAGCCTGGGCAACAGGCTAGGGTTCACCTTTAATTTGGCTCTGCAGGCGTTTCCACGCTCTCCACCTGGTGTGTATAGGGCATTTGGGGCCTTTAGAGGGCGCACTTGCGGCCAGCAGGCTGAAGAGGCTGCAGCGAAGGCTGGGGAGCTGAACTGAGCTGGTGCAGAGACAGCACAGGAGAAAAACAGAACCAAAAAATTCACACTGAATTGGGGGTGACAGACCTTGTCTCAAAAAAATCATAGTTTAGGGCCGGGCACGGTGGCTTATGCCTGTAATCCCAGCACTTTGGGAGGCCGAGGCGGGTAGATCACCTGAGGTCAGAAGTTCAAGACTAGCCTGGCCAAGATGGTGAGACGCCTTCTCTACTAACAGTACAAAAATTAGCTGGGCGTGGTGGCGGGCGCTTGTAATTCCAGCTACTTGGGAGGCTGAGGCGCTTGAATGCAGGAGGCGGACGTTGCAGAGTAAGCCAACAGGAAGACAGGAGATGCAGGGAACATAAGATTCAACACAGGAAAGAGGCAATTCAAATTCTCATTTAATAGTGAAAGAAAGTTCTGAGAAAGCAGGTTTGCATCAGGTCTGGAGAGTAGCTAGTCCAGATTGGAGCAGTTGGGGTGAGGACTTCAGCAGGGGTGGCTTCTAGGAAAAAAAAAAAAAAAAAGCGGGGCAGGACTGATGAATATGATTGGTTTAGTCATATAGACATTGATATTTAATAACTGGAATATTTAGCTTATATATAAACCATGTTGCCAAAGAGCGGGCATTAGGAGTTGGCAATGGAAGGCTAGGAAATCATTACCTTTAGGAAAACCACATTGTATAAGAAGGAGATTTTGGCTCTGCACTGAGCAAAAGTTACATAGTTATCAAAAATGAGAGGGAGATGATAGGTCAAAGAACCAATTTTTATTATAAGTCTTTAGTACTATTCAGTGCTTTAACAAGGTTCATGTATTTAATATAAATAAGTCATTTTAAACACACGGTTTAAGTTCCAAAGCAGCTCGCTCTTTAGGGAAAAAGTTTTTTTAGTATGGATATTTTCAAACATGCAAAAGCAAAGACTAGTAAAATGAGCCTCTATCTGTACTCATCAACCAGTTTCAAAAGTTTCAAACATATCCATTTTATCAGTATTCTCCCACACTAGATATTTTTGCCACAAATCCCAAACATGTAATTTTATCCACGTTTCAGTATTTTTCTCTATAAGCATTATCTTTTTTTTTTTTTTTTTTTTTTGAGGCAGAGTCTCACTTTGTGGCCTAGGCTGAAATGCAGTGGCGTGATCTCAGCTCATTGCCACCTCTGCCTCCCAGGCTGAAACAATTCTCGTGCCTCAGCCTTCCAAGTAGCTGGGATTACAGCCATGTGCCATGACACCTGGCTAACTTTTGTGTTTTTTAGTAAAAATGGTTTCGTGATATTGACCAGGCTGGTTTCAAACTCCTAGCCTCAATTGATCCAGCCACCTCACCCTCCCAAAGTGCTGGGATTACGGGAGTAAGGCACCACACCCGGCCATCTGTAAGGATTCTTTAATCATAACCACAGTACCATTGTCATCTGAAAAAAGTGAACATTAATTCCTCAATAAAATTAAGTGTGTATTCAGATTTTCCTACTTTTTCTCATAAATGTTTTTATATAGGCTTGTTCAAATTGGGTTGTAAAATCCATACATCAAGACAGCTTAGTTTCATTTTTACGTCATACAAAAGCACACCAATCCTTAAAATTGTAAGCTTGTCCACAATTTGGCCTGCAAAGTGAGGGTACAGGTGCCCTACAAAAGAAAAAAGATAAGATAATCTTTTTGGGTATAAGAAGCAAATTAGCATGTCTAAAAATAGTTGTAATATTATTTAATATCCTTGTAGGATTTTTTTTTTTTTTTTTTTTTAAAGATGGACTCTTGTTCTGTCGCCCAAGCTGGAGTACATGGTTCCATCTCTGCTCACTGTTCCATCTCTGCTCACTCCATCTCCCGGTTCAAGTGATTCTCCTGCCTCAGCCTCCTGAGGACCTGGGACTACAGGCGTGTACCACCACACCTAGTTAATTTTTGTATATTTGGTAGAGACAGAGTTTCAGCATGTTGGCCAGACTGGTCTTGAACTCCTGACCTCAGGTGATCCATCCACCTCGGCCTCTCAAAGTGCTGGGAGTACAGGTGTGAGCCACCACACCCAGCCAGCATCCTTTTAGTTTCTATTTTTCGTGTATACTTAATATACACAATATAATAGTACAGTGTTATATACTTTAGGAATTATACTAAGTCTAGGTCCAGTCAGAAAATAGAAACCATATGTTGATCAGGGAAGTATACAGTATGAAGAAGTATTAATTATGGTGGGGGACTGGAGTAATGGATTGACAAATAAGAAGTTAGGAGAACTCTAACAATACAGGAATAGCAGATATAAGGACCTACTACCACTAACCCCTGGGGCCAAGACAGATCACCCAGGGGAGACTGCCCCCAGGGCTGAGATCTAGATCCAGTTGAATACAGCATATGTGGCTCACCAGAAGGCAGAGAAATTACTGTTGCTTTTTGCTGGTGAGACTTGCTAGAAATCTGCTTACTGGAAAGGGCTGGCAATCTGTGCTCTAGGGTGCTGGGGAAAGGTGTCCCTCTGGAAGCACCCTGCTAGAAAACTGCCTGGCAGGGTGAAGTAGGGGCTAGCTGGCCTCTGTGCGCTGCAGGAACAGCACTGGAGAAACTGCCCTTTCTGCCCATGCTGCAGAAGCCTGGTGCTAGAGAACCTGTGGGTGCTGCAGGAGTCAGCTGAGCAAGCAAACTGGAACCAGGAAGCAAAACCTTTTCCTTCCCGTACTGTCTCTCCATCATCCTCTGCTGACAAAGCATGTTTCTTGGCAAGGGAAAAATATTTAAAGAGCCCAGAACCATTTTCACAAAGCAGGTAAAAAAGGTGAATTTGGAACTGAAAAGCAGTACGTTGGTAACTGGCACTGGGGTTGGTTGTCTTGTTTGTTTTTGCTGGTAAGAGTCGACAATAATCAAAATGTTGGAGATATGATACTTAATGTCATGTCTTCTCAGTGAGTCTATAAACTGTTCCAAGGCCCTTAACAGTGCTGGAGGCCATTATTGTTCACAGTATATCTTTCATATATTTACATAGATGTCTGAGAGTGAGTTGGACAGTAATCTCTATAAATAGCAGGGATATTGACCCTGTCTCATCAGCTCACCAATTTTTTTGAGGTTCTAATGAAGGTTACTAATTTTTAACTTGTAATTATTTGTCCTCTTCTGAAGTTTGTCTTTACACCTCTTCAAAGAAAGAGTTTGTTAAGAAATTGCATAAATATGATTGGTGTATTCTCTTCCTTCTCAGCTTTGTGCCTGCCTTTTGCTAGAATAGTTTTCTTCTTCCAACTTAGACTGTTCCTCAGGCTAACTCCTATTCATCCTTCACCTTTCATGCCACTTGCTCTATGAAGCCTTCCCTGACCTATCTAGAATAAGTTAGGTGCTCTTTCAGTGTGGTCTAAGATCTTGTACTTACTCAACACACTGAATTGTAAATGCTTGTTTATGTGTATCAGCATTGCTTACCACCTCCACCTCAGGGGAGGGCAGGGAATGTCTTGTTTTCCTCTTTTAATTCCTGAGGCTTAGCACAATGTCTGTTATATGGTGAGTGTTTATTAAAATTTGGAGTGAATAAAATGGATAGTAAAGGTGCTGTTTTGTTAGTTAGCAGTGGCAGGATCTAATAACATATCCAATATACTTCATACTAAATTTTCAATATTTGTTGCAGAGTTTTTTAGTTTTTCTTATTAAATTTATAGTACTTGTCTAACAAATATCAAAAACCACCTCGAAGGCCGAGCGTGGTGGCTCACACCTATAATCCCAGCACTTTGGGAGGCTGAGGCAGGCGAATCACGAGGTCAGGAGATCGAGATCATTCTGGCTAACATGGTGAAACCCCATCTCTACTAAAAATGCAAAAAAAAAAATTTAGCCAGGTGTGGTGGCGGGCATCTGTAGTCCCAGCTACTCGGGAGGCTGAGGCAGGAGAATGGCGTGAACCCAGGAGGTGGAGCTTGCAGTGAGCTGAGATCACGCCACTGTACTCCAGCCTGGGTGACAGAGCGAGACTCTGTCTCAAAAAAAAAAAAAAAACCACCTCAAAGCCTGGTGTGTTGGCTCATGCCCGTAATCCCAGCACTTTGGGAGGCCAAAGTGGGCAGATAGACTAGCCTGGCCAACATGACAAAACCCCATCTCTACTAAAAACACAAAAATTAACCAGGCGTGGTGGCGTGCCCCTGCAGTCCCAGCTACTCGGGAGGCTGAGGCAGGAGAATCGCTTGAAACGAGGAGGTTGCAGTGAGCCAGGATCACATCACTCACTGCAGCCTGGGTGACAGAGCGAGACTCTGTCTCTCTAAAAAAAAGAAGAAAAAAAAAAAAACCCACCTTGAAAAGTCTCCCTCTTACTTTCTTTCAGGTTCCTTTTTTGCCAGGAGATTCAGACCTCGATCAGCTAACAAGAATATTTGAAACTTTGGGCACACCAACTGAGGAACAGTGGCCGGTAAGCCTCTATGCATTTTCTTTGAAATGCAATTAGGACTCTATAAAGTTCTTAAATTGTCATATGCTTTATATAATGCTGTCACGTGAATATTAACGACATTTATTAATTATAATTTACTTATAATATGTACTCAGAACATTTTAAATGATAAAGTATATAAAGTAAAAAGTTACAATTGTGATATACCATCCACCCTCTTGTATACCTGTAGTCCTTTCTCCCGACCCCAGTAATCCCGACCTTGGGGTAATCACTGTTAACAATTCAGTGTAAAGCTGTGTTAGGAGTGTATATGCACACTACAAACATAAAAGAGTTGCATGTTCTTTCACTCCTTAACAAAAGCGGTTTCACATCTTATATATACACGATGTGAACCCACGACATATATAACCCATTACACACACGCACACACGTAGGTGTACATATATGTATATATGATGTTTCTCTTAGATTTTTTTAAAATTAATTTTTGTATATGTATATTTTTTATATTGACGGGGTTTCACCATGTTGTCCAGGCTGGTCTCAAACTCCTAGTCTCAAGCAGTTCTGCCTCAGCCTCCCAAAGTGCTGGGACTGTAGGCATGAGCCATCGTACCTGGCTAACATGATTTTCTAAATAGCAGTTGCTTACTGATGTTTCTCTTCTATTTTTTAAAAATTAAACTTCTTGGCGGGGTGCGGTGGCTCACGCCTGTAATCCCAGCACTTTGGGAGGCTGAGGCAGGCAGATCATTTCAGGCCAGGAGTTTGAGACCAGCCTGGGCTATGAAGCGAGACTCTGTCTCCAAAAATAAAAAATAAAATTAAAAAATAAACTTATTTTGAGAATATTATTCACGTGCAATTGTGAATATATAATTCACAATTATGTATCGTGGCTGGGCACAGTGGCTCACGCCTGTAATCCCAGCACTTTGGGAGGCGGAGGTAAATGGGTCACTTGAGCCCAGCAGTTTAAGACCAGCCTGGGCAACATAGTGAGACTTCATGTCTATGAAAAATAAAAATTAAAAAAAATTACCAGGCATGGTGGTGCACACATTATGGTCCCAGCTACTCAGGAGGCTGAGGTAGGAGGATTGCTTGAGCCCAGGAGCTCAAGGCTGCAGTGAGCTGTGATTGCGCCACTGTGCTTTACTAGCCTGAGTAACAGAGTGAGTCCCTGTCTCAAAACGATAATAGTAATATTGCAGACATATTTCACGGACCCTTTACCCAGCTTTTACAAGATGGGAGCATCTTGTAAAATCAGTGCAGTGTCACACTAGGATGTTACAGTCAAGATACAGAGTATCACCACAAGAATCTCTCATGGTATTCTTTTACAGCTTTGCTTACTTTCCTCCTACCCGCTCCTTAACTCTTGGCAATCACTAATCTGTCCTCCAACTCTGTAATTTTGTCATTTCAAAAATGTTACGTAAATGGATAAATGGAATCACACAATACATAACTTTTTGGGATTAACTTTTTCATAGCCGTCATAAATGGAAGTTCATTCAGGTCATTGCATGTTAATAATTCATACTCTCTCTCTCTTTTGTTAACTGCTGAGTATTGTGTGGATTTATTTCACAGTTTCTTCAACCGTTCACCCATTGAAGGACATCTGTATTTGTGTTGTTTCCAATGTGGGGCTATTACCAATAAAACTGCTCTGAACATTTATGTACAGTTTTTTATGTAAGAATATATTTTTATTTCTCTGGGATAAATGCCCAGGAGTTCAGTTCTTGAGTCATATGGTAGTTCCATATTAATTTTTAAATAACCTGTGAAACTCCAGAGCAGCTATACTGTTTTACATTCCCCCAGCAGTAAATGAGTGCTCCAGTTTCTTGGAATCCTCTCCAGCATTTGGTGGTGTCACTTTTTAATCTTAGGCATTCTAATGAGTGTGTCATGATAGCTCATTTTGATTTTAATTTTCACTGCCCTAATGGCTAATGGTGTTGAATATCTTTTCTTGTGCTTATTTGCCATCTTGAGTTAAATGTCTCTTCCCCATTTTCTGATTGGATTCTTTGATTTTTGACTGTTGAGTATTGAGAGCTCTTCATGTATTCTAGATAGTAGTCCAAAAGTATATGTAGTTTGCAGATGTTTTCCCTCATGCTGCCTTTTCATCCTCTGCAAAACTGTAATCAGGTTTGTTACTTTTTCTTTAATTGATCATCCTTTTGGTGTCAAGTCAAAGAGCTCTTGTGCCCAGCCCAAAGATTTTTTGACAATTTTTTTTCTTTTTTTTTTTTTTTCGAGACAAGATCTGGCTCTGTTGCCCAGGCTGGAGTGCAGTGGTGTGATCTCAGCTCACTGCAACCTCCACTTCCCGGGCTCAAGCCATCCTCCCACCTCAGCCTCTTGAGTAGCTGGGACTGTAGGCGTGCACCACCACGCCCAGCTAGTTTTTGTGTTTTTTGTAGATATAGGGTTTCTGCATGTTGCCCAGGCTGGTCTGAAACTCGTGAGCTCAAACAGTTTGCCCGCCTTGGCCTCCCAAAGTGCTAGAATTACGGGCATGAGCCACTATGCCCTTGGCCGTGACAATTTTTTTTGTATTTTTTTCCTACAAGTTTTGTAGTTTTACGCTTAAGTCTAAGATCTGTTTAGAGTTTACCTTTATATGATGTATGAGACTTAAGGCAAGGTTCAGTTTTTGTTGTTTTTTTTTTTTTGGAGACGGTCTTACTCTGTTGCCCAGACTGGAGTGGGGTCTCACTTTCTTGTCCAGGCTGGTCTCGAACTCCTGAGCTCAAGTGACCCTCCTGCCTCAGCCTCCCAAAGTGCTGGGATTACAAGCGTGAGCCACCATACCCAGCCAAATTCAGATTTTTGCACATGTATGTCCTAGTGCTCCAGCAGCATTTCTTGAAACGACTGTCTCTTCATTGATTTAGTTTTTCACTTTTTCAAATATCCCTTTGGCAAATTTGTGTGGATTTCTCTCTCTCTGCCAGTACAACACAGTCTTAATCAAAGTAGCTATATGTTAAATCTTGAAATCAGGTAAAATGAGTCCTCCCACTTTATTGTTCTTTTTCAAAATCATTTTAGCTACTGTAGTCCTTTGCCTTTCCATATAAATTTTAGAATAATTGGTTTTATATCTAAAATAATTTTGCTAGGATTTTGATAAAAATTATATTAAACTTGCAAACCAATTTGAGGATAATTAACATCCTTCCTCTGTTGAATATTCCAATATGTGAACATGGTATGTTTCACCATTTATTGAGATCTTTTGATGAATTTCATCAGCATCGTATAGCTTATAGTATATTAACCTATACATGTTTTTTTATATTTTTCACCTGTTTCATTTTTCTTTTTGGGGTGATTATAAATAGTATTGTGTTTTTAATTTTGATGTCCACATATTCATTGCTAGTATATAGAATTATAATTGATTTTTAAATTTTCATTTTATATCCTTTTCAGCCTTGCCTTACTACTAGTTCTAGGACTTTTTAATAGATTTCTTGGAATTTTCTATATAAACCCATTATATTACCTGAAAATGATTTATTTCATTTGTGATCTGTGTGCCTTTCAATCCTTAAGTTTGAATTATAAAATTATTTTTACAGGACATGTGTAGTCTTCCAGATTATGTGACATTTAAGAGTTTCCCTGGAATCCCGTTGCATCACATCTTCAGTGCAGCAGGAGACGACTTACTAGATCTCATACAAGGCTTATTCTTATTTAATCCATGTGCTCGAATTACGGCCACACAGGTATTTTAGTGTATCTTTTTTTATACTAGGAAATATAAAAATAATCTTAACTGTAGCATTGATTAAAAACAGAATTTCATAAAATTAACATTTTTTAAATACTGGAAAGATGTGTTTTTGTTTTAAGAAATAACAAACTTTGTATCTTTTCTCCAAACTACAAACACTATTAAGACTGAGATTAAATTATATGCACACAGAGATACAGGAGAGTTTACACTTATTACACTTGCTTAGGAACATATAAATACATGTCTATTTCATATAATTGGCTTGTATATACTTTACCTAGAGGGGAAAAGAAAACCAAGGCTTTTTATTTGTTAAGAAACTGGTATATTTCAGTTGAGCTCTTACAAATTTATTTAAATCTTGTAGTAAGCCTCATGCTGAAAGTAGTTTGTTCAGCTTATTTTTTCTTCCCTATATAATGCAATCCAGGTATGCATGCTGGTCATTTTCACATTCAGAAAATGGTAATGGGGAGGAAATGTATAGTCAGATATAACTGTATGCTTACAAAAGCTTGAAAAATATTTGAAATAAAACAAAAACTGAAACTAACTGCTGTTTAAAGGAAATAACAATCAAACTCATGAAAAATTTGTAAGACCTAGAATAACTTAGGGCAGAGCAGTGTACAACACAGTGCTGTGATTTTACCTCATGAAGGGAGAGACTAATCAAACTGAAATGTCACAGGTCTTTATGGAAACATATTAATGTACAATAATATTAAGCATACAAAATAGATTTTTTTCTCTTTAGGTTTGTTCCAGGCTACAAAATCATTGTTTATTGTGTTTGCTTGTATAAGTCTTCTCTTTTTAGCAATATGTGCTATGTGAATGTATATGGAGATGAATGGATGGATGGATGGATAGATAGATAGATAGATAGATAGATAGATAGATAGATAGATAGATAGATAGAGATGAATAGGTAGGTAGGTAGGTATATGCTGGGTATTACCATTAGAATTATTCTTCTAATTTCTTTTTTTAAATTTTTTCTTTATTATTTTTATGTCCGCATGTACACATACTCTTCTAATTTCAACCAAGTAATTTGTTGCCTTTTCACTCTTCTATGTATGTTATTTCCATCATAATAAACTTGAGACCACATTTAATTATCTAGAAAGTTGTTTTCATTGGTAGTATAGTTTGAAACTTAACAGAAAAATACTAGTTGTTATATTTGGGTTGTATTTTAATAGAATGAAGTTTTTAAGGTGAGTTTTGTTTCATGGATGTCTTTATTAAAGTTGGAATGAGGTGCTTTCTTAGATCTTTATGTAGCCCAGAATTAGCCTAATTTGCATATAGAATTGCTGTGATTTAGAGGTAATGCTTTAAAAATGCAGCTGTAGGCCGGGCGCAACGGCTCACACTTGTAATCCCAGCACTTTGGGAGGTCAAGGAGCAAGGATAGCTTGAGGCCAGGAGTTGGAGCCCAGCCTGGGCAATGTGACAAGACATCATCTCTACAAAAAATAAATAAATAAAAAATAAAAATGCAACTGTTGAAGTAAGGAATCTCTAAATTACTGCAAATAATATAATATTGGGGGTCATGAGGAATGCTTGCAAAGTTTATCTGGGCTTCATCTTTCTTAAAGGATTATCCTAAAGGAAGTATTTATTTTTGAGATGAAGTCTTGCTCTGTCGCCCAGGCTGGAGTGCAGTGGCACGATCTTGACTCTCTGCAACCTCTACCTCCCAGGTTCAAGCGATTCTCCTGTCTCAGCCTCCCTAGTAGCTGGGATTACAGGTGCACACCACCACGCCTGGCTAATTTTTGGATTTTTAGTAAAGACAGTGTTTCACCATGTTGTCGAGGCTGTTCTCAAACTCCTGACCTCAGGTGATCCATCTGCCTTGGCCTCCCAAAGTGCTGGGATTACAGGCATGAGCCACCCCACCCTGCCAGAAGTATTTTAAATCATTGTAGCCACTGGACAGCACTATGCTGCTGATGTAAATAGACAAGCATGCGAACCTGGGAGGTGGAGGTTGCAGTGAGCCAAGATTATGCCACTACACTCCAGCCTGGACAACAGGGTGAGACTCTGTATCCAAAAATAAAAAAATAAAAAATAGACAAACATGACCTGACAAACTTGTCATTTAGGATATAATTATTTTTATCAGAATTGTGGACCCAAGTCAAGAAAATGTCGTATCTACAGCACTATATTAGGGGGAAAAAAAGAGAAAATGTAGTATAGAACATTGGCCTGGTAATTAATAGAAATAATCTTGGACAAGCCCTTCTAAGTAAAATTTCTGTCCATTTGCGATGGATTGTTGAATTAGAATCCATTGGTTCCAACCTACTGTATTTTTTAAAAAGTCTTATTTTTAAAGAATTTGTATTTTACATGACTTGGAATTTGAATATATATGGATAGTGTGGCAAACTTGTAAGTTCTTTTTAAGTTTCTCTCTTTGCATTTTGAACTGTACAGCTCAATATGTAGAAAATGGAAATGTACAATATTTCACTAAGGATAGCTCATAATTAGTATTGGTTGAGCATCCTTAATCCAAATATCCAAAATCTGAAGTGCTCCAAAATCCAAAGCTTTTGGAATGCTGACATGATGCCACAAGTGGAAAATTCTACCCATAAGGACATTTACACAAACTTTGTTTTATGTACAAAATTAAAAATTTTGTCAAATTAAAAATATTTTATAAAATTACCTTCAGCCAGGCACAGTGGCTCACGCCTGTAATCCCAGCTCTCAGGGAGGCAGAGGCGGGAGGATAGCTTGAGCCCAGGAGTTCAAGACCTGCCTGGGCAATATAATGAGACCCCATTCTCCACAAAAAGGGAAGAAAAAAAAAAGACCAAAAAAAAAAGTGTAAAATTACCTTCAGTTTATATGTATAAGCTGTATATGAAACATAAATTTCATTTTTAATCTTGGCTCCCATCCCCAAGGTATGTCATGTATATGTAAATATTCCACAATCCCAAATCTGAAGCACTTCTGGTCCTAAGCATTTCAGATAAGAGATATTCAGCCTGTATAGGCTATTTAATTATGGAAAAATTAGAAGGGAGTCTCTTTTTCTTTTCTTTTCTTTTCTTTTCTTTTTTTTTTTTTCTTTTGAGATGGAGCCTTGCTCTGTTACCCAGACTGGAGTGCAATGGTGTGATCTCGGCTCACTGCAACCTCCACCTCTGGGTTCAAGCAATTCTCCTGCCTCAGCCTCCCAAGTAGTGGGGTCTACAGACATGCATCACCACGCCTGGCTTATTTTTGTATTTTTAGTAGAGATGGGGTTTTGCCATGTTGGCCAAGCTGATCTCGAACTTCTGACCTCATGCGATCCACCTGCTTCGGCCTCCCAAGGTGCTGGGATTACAGGCGTGAGCCACTGCGCCCAGCCAGTCTTTTAATGGAATTATCAGCCAATCTTAGGATCCTAGATGTTTATTTGTAGTAATTTGCATTTGCAAATACTTGACATTAATTTTGTTTTGTTTTTGGGAATGAGGGCGTTCACATAGTATTTTTAATGTTCCCTATAATCTTGAAGGTAATATTTTCCCTCACACATTTCAGATACTCACCTACCTTACTTTTGGTATCTTTTAAAAGGCACTGAAAATGAAGTATTTCAGTAATCGGCCAGGGCCAACACCTGGATGTCAGCTGCCAAGACCAAACTGTCCAGTGGAAACCTTAAAGGAGCAATCAAATCCGGCTTTGGCGACAAAAAGGAAAAGAACAGAGGCCTTAGAACAAGGTAAAATTCCCACTTTTATAAGAAATTAAATGAATTCAGAAAACTCCAAATAGCCCATGTATGGCTAGCAACTGAACAACAGCAAAGAAATGTGGCTTGCTAGCTGTTTAATTTTTATAAATTTAAATTGTATAAAGTAGAGAGACTGTGCTGTTTTAGGTATGTTTACTTTCATTGAGAACACTTCAGCAACTTTTGTGTATACCTCAGAATTATGGGAACTGTCTATGTGTGCCTTGTTCCCTTCATAAATTCCTTCTGTGAACTGCATGCTAAATGTTTAACAAGTGCTACTGGAAAAGTGTGTCAGTGAAATAATGTAGTTGGAATGCAGTGACTGGTTAAAATTGCTATGAGAATGTGAACTTTGTTAAATGTGAACAACTTCTTTATTTCTTTTTCTTTTTGCTTTCTAGGAGGATTGCCCAAGAAACTAATTTTTTAAAGAGAACACTGGACAACATTTTCCTACTGAAGGAAATAACCAAAAAAGGCAAATAGTGGAAAAATAGTAAACATTAAGTAAATGCTGTAGAAGTGAGTTTGTAAATATTCTACACATGTAAAATATGTAAAACTATGGGTTTTTTTTATTAAATGTATTTTAAAATAAAAATTCTGTTTTTTCTGATTAGACTGCAAAAGTGAGAAAAGTCCAATTCTCTTGAAATGTAGAATTGAAAACGCAGTAGGGAAAACTTCATAAAAATTATTACCAGTTATTTTGAAGATCTGACCCCTATAGTACTACAAGTCTGTAGTGGCATGGGTAGTGTTTAAAAAAAAAAATGTAGTGGTGTAGTAGATACTACCCAAACTGAACAAATGTTAGTATACAGAATGTACTGAAAAAAGAAAACATTACAGATAAAATTGAGATTCCTCCCAACCTTTTTTCTGAGGCGGGGGACAGTCTCACTCTGTCACTTGGGTTGGAGTGCAGTGGCGCAATCCCGGCTCACTGCAAACTCTGCCTCCCAGGTCAAGCGATTCACTTGCTTCAGCCTCCCAAGTAGCTGGGATTATGGGCACACGCCACTATACCTGCCTAATTTTTTTTTATTCTTAGTAGAGATGGGGTTTCACCATGTGAAACCAGGCTGGCCGCGAATTCCTGACCTCAAGTGATCCGCCCACCTCGGCTTCCCAAAGTGCTGGGATTACAGGCATGAGCCACTGCACCTGGCAAGAGGTTCCCTCTTAATACTTCTTTATTTCTATTTTTTTCTTTTTCACTTTCCCCAAAGGGAAATGACTCTGTGAAATTGGTATGTATCTTTCCATGATTTTATGCTACTATTCTGTAAGAATGCATGTAGTGAGATGCATAACAATGTACAGCATTGTTTTGAGTCTCAAAATTGTATATACATGGATAGAATCTCTTCTCTCCTTTCTTTTTTTGTGAGATAGTCTCACTCTGTTGCCCAGGTTGGAGTGTAGTAGTACAATCATGACTCACTGCAGCCTCGAACTCCTGGGCTCAAGCCATCCTCCCACCTCAGCCTCCCCAGTAGCTGGGACTACAGGTGCACACCACCGTGCCTGGTTAATTTTTTTTTTTTTTAATGAGACAGAGTCTTGCTCTGTTGCCCAGGCTGGAGTGCAGTGATGCAATCTCAGCTCAATGCAACCTCCGAATCCTGGGGTTCAAGCGATCCTCCCACCTTAGCCTCCCAAGTAGCTGGGATTACAAATGTGTACCACTATGCCCAGCTAATTAAAGTAACACAAATGTATTAGTTCACAGTTCTGTAGGTCATGTATCTGGCTCAGCTGTGTTTCCTGCTTAGGGTCTCACAAGGCCAAAATCAAGGTTTTAGATAATACTTTTATTTGGAGGCCCCTGGGCTACCAAGCTCATGTAGTTTTGTTTTTGTTTTTTTTTTTTTTAGACGAGTCTCACTCTGTTGCCCAGGCTGGAGTACAGTGGCGCAATCTCGGCTCACTGCAAGCTCTGCCTCCTGGGTTCACGCCATTTTCCTGCCTCAGCCTCCTGACTAGCTGGGACTACAGGCACCTGCCACCACACTTGGCTAATTTTTTGTATTTTTAGAGACAGGGTTTCACCATGTTAGCCAGGATGGTCTCAATCTCCTGACCTTGTGATCCGCCTGCCTCAGCCTCCCAGAGTGCTGGGATTACAAGCGGGAGCCACCGCGCCCGGCCGCTCATGCAGTTCTTATAATTCTTGTGCTCCATTGTCCCCATTTCCCCTTTAACTGTTAGCCCAGGGCCTCTCTCAGTTGCTTAAGGAAGCTTCCATGCCTTTGTCCTGTGGCATTCACCATCTATGAGCCAGCAGCAATGCATCAAACCCACTTGTGCTTCAGATCTGTCTGATTTCCTTGTGTGTGTGTGTGTGTGTGTAGACGGGGAACTGCCAAGAGGGAAGCAGCCAAGCAGCTAAGGGTCCGGGAGATAATAGTGCCAAAGGCATCTGAGGACACTCATAAAATGTGTCTTAACACATGAGGCAGGATAGGAGTGTATTAGTCCATTCTCACACTGCTATAAAGATACTACCCAAGACTGAGTAGTTTATAAAGGAAAGAGGTTTAATTGACTCACAGTTCCACATGGCTGGGGAGGCCTCAGGAAACTTACAGTCTTGGCAGAAGGGGAAGCAGGCATGTTTTACATGGCAGCGGGAGAGACTACCATGTATAAAACTATCGGATCTCATGAGAATTCACAGTCATGAGACCAGCATGGGGGGGTACCAACCCCATGATCCAGTCACCTACCACCAAATCCCTCCTTCAACATGGGGGGATTAGGGAATTACAATCCAAAATGAGACTTGGGTGGGGACACAGCCAAACTATATCAGGTAGTCAAGGAAATGACCATTTTCTCATGACTGTACAGCCAACACAATAAACCTCAGCATTCACATTGTAATTGAACTCATTCAAGCAAGCTATCTAGCTATCTTCAGTAGGGACTTTCCCTTCTAGGTAGCATGCACATTTTGATTTTACCTGTCCTCAAACTGATCCTTTTCACATTATAATAATAAAAAACACACCTCTAGGTGGAAATTTAAGATGCTAATGAGACATGTGATGTATGAACAAGCGTGAACAGCTACTGCGCCTGTGCAGAGGACTACCCAGGATATGATTACTAGCAACACCTCTTCTCACCTTATGAATAACAATGCAAAACTCCCATAAAGGGAGTTTCTCCAGCAGTAATCAATGCTGTCTCACCGTTATGAGCAGCTGGCCCTGAATTCTCTCTCAGGTGTACTGTCTATTCTGCACCTAACTTTCAAAATATTCCTTTCTCTTGCAATAAATTATGCCACATCTCCTTTGCTGTCTTTTGTTTAAATTGTTTTAAACCAAGAAGACAAGAGAACTGAGGTATCACAACAGCTGTCAACCCATGCATTTTGCTTTATTCATTTGCTATATCGTATGGATCGCTCCATTTTGTAGAGTATTCCATTGTATGGATGTACAGTAGTTTAGATGAACATTTTTATATTGATGGCCTTTTTTTTTTTTTTTTTGGAGACGGGTCTCACTCTGTCACTCAAGCTGGAGTGCAGTGGCACGATCACAGCTCACTGCAGCCTCAAGCTCCTGGGGTCATGCCATCATTCTCCTGCCTCAGCCCCCTGAGTAGCTGGGACAACAGGTGCATGCCACCATGCCTTGCTGAGTTTTTGTATAGATGGGGTTTCACCATGTTGCCCAGGCTGGTCTTGAACTCTGGACTGGTCTGGACTCATGAGATTCAGACCCAATCTGTGAGCCACTGCCTCCAGCCTTGATAGCCATTTGTTTTCATATGCAGAGCAGCAATTAGTAGCCATTTAAGATATCTGTGCACCAGCCTACAAGAAATACAAATGTACAGGGTAAAATCCTAGCTGGATCAAATATGAGCTTTGTAAATTTTTTAAAACTTTTTTATTGAGTTGTGGTAGTTTATGCCTGTAATCTAATCCTAGCACTTTGAGAGGCTGAGGCAGGAGGATCCCTTGAGGCCAGGAGTTTGGGGCCAGCCTGAGCAACACAGTGGGACCCTGTCTACACACAAACCCCAACTGCACACACCCCAACTCACCACAAACGAAAAAACTCCTAGAAATCACCTTGGCTCAGGCAGCTTAAGATTCCTGTGACCCCATTTTCTGGATCATCACAACCATCTCACAGGATGCAATGAAAAGAGCTGTTAAGTACTTTGTAGACTTGGCTACAAATCTGCAGATTTGGCTGCAAAATGTTACTACCCTGACAAGCCATGAAGGCAGCCGGCAATGACTCAATATACTCTGCCACCATCATAACTGTCTTATTGAAGTTAAGGAAATTGCTATTTCTAAACTTTATATGGTAAATGAAAATTACCGAAAAAGGCAAATAAGGCCGGGCGCGGTGGCTCAAGCCTGTAATCCCAGCACTTTGGGAGGCCGAGACGGGCGGATCACGAGGTCAGGAGATCGAGACCATCCTACACGGTGAAACCCCGTCTCTACTAAAAAATACAAAAAACTAGCCGGGCGAGGTGGCGGGCGCCTGTAGTTCCAGCTACTGGGGAGGCTGAGGCAGGAGAATGGCGTAAACCCGGGAGGTGGAGCTTGCAGTGAGCTGAGATCCGGCCACTGCACTCCAGCCTGGGCGACAAAGTGAGACTCCGTCTCAAAAAAAAAAAAAAAAAAAAAGGCAAATAAAATAAATGTATTCCAAAAATTAACATTCAGTCACTCCTAGGTATTGTTACTTCTTAGAGCATTAAGATACATTGTTATATTGTTGATTTAGCCAATCTAAGATCCCTATAGTCAATCAAAATACTTAAATAATTTTTTGTTTTTCCCAAAAATCATTTTTTGTTATAGGATGTTGGCAAAGACTGTAATTTTTTTGTTTTCTTTGAGACAGAGTTTCATTCTTGTTGCCCAGGCTGGAGTGCAATGGCGCGATCTCAGCTCACCATACCCTACCACTCCCAGGTTCAAGTGATTATCTTGCCTCAGCCTCCAGAGTAGCTAGGATTACAGGCATGCACCACCACGCCCAGCTAATTTTTTGTATTTTTAGTAGACATGGGGTTTCTCCATGTTGGTCAGGCTGGTCTCGAACTCCAACCACAGGTGACTCACCTGCCTCAGCCTCCCAAAGTGCTGAGATTACAAGCATGAGCCACCTCACCCGGCCTGTAATGTAATTTGTAAATAAAATAAATACAGTAATGTAATTTATAAATAAAATGTCAACACAGAATACTAATTTCTTGTAGAAAATAGGCTGTGTGCAGTGACTCACGCCTGTAATCTCAGCACTTTGGGAGACCAAGGCAGGTGGATCACTTGAGGTCAGGAGTTTGAAACCAGTCTGGCCAACATGGTAAAACCCCGTGTCTACTAAAAATACAAAAATTAGCTGGGCGTGGTGGCACATGCCTGTAATCCCAGTTACTCCGGAGGCTAAGGCAGGAGAATTGCTTGAATCGGGATGCAGAAGTTGCAATGAACCGAGTCACGCCACTGCACTCCAGCCTGGGCGACAGAGCGAGACTCCATCTCAAAAGAAGAAAAAGAAAATGTAGAAAATATTTAAGCGACCTCCTAAAATTTAGAAATACCTAGGAAACATACAACTTCTCAAGATGCAGCAAAATTTACAAAATCATTTTTCAAAGTCTCTTGATATAAACAACTCTCAGTTCCAATTTCAACTGGCTTGTCTTTAAAATATGATATTTGATGGCAAAGAATGGGATCTTTTAAGAGTTCTATAGTTTGCATCTATTTGAGAGTGCTGGATTGAACAAATGCAGCCCACAGAATTTGAAATGTGGACACTTGAATGTACAGGATCACCCAAAACAGAGAATTCTGAAGTCTTATGCCGGCGGTTGTTGAAAGGGAAATTCTCTTTTATAGGATTTTTTTCTTTATTCTCTTTTGAGGCAGTGTCCTTGTCTTCCAGTGCCCGAGCAAGCATGTAACTAACTTTTCTTTGATGAGCCAAAGCTGCTTCTTTATCATTCAGCTGCATGCACAGAAATTAAACATGTATAAGTTAGTCAATAAATCACAGACTATATTCAGAGAAAGGAGTATTGTACTATCTTATCAAAATGTTCAACCCTAATATTCATATTGATCTGTCCATCAGTATGAATAAATTAGGTATCACCTGATCCCCAAACATTATACTACATGTTATTCACGATTTTTTTTTTTTTAAGACAGAGTCTGGCTTTGTTGCCCAGGCTGGATGCAGTGGTGCCATCTTGGCTCACTGCAGCCTCTGCCTCCCAGGCTCAAGTGATTCTTGGACCTCAGCCTCCCGAGTACAGTAGCTGGGACTACAGGCGTGCACCACCACACCTGGCTAATTTTTGTATTTTTAGTAGAGATGGAGTCAGGCTGGTCTTGAACTCCTGGCCTCAAGTGATCCACCCGCCTCGGCCTCCCAAAGTGCTGGGATTACAGATGTGTGCTACCATGCCAGGCCGACGATTTTTTTTTTTTTTTTTTTTTGAGATGGAATCTGACTCTCTCACCCAGGTTGGAGTGCAGTAGCGCGATCTTGGCTCACTGCAAGCTCCGCCCTCCCAGGTTCACACCATTCTCCTGTCTCAGCCTCCCAAGTAGCTGGGACTACAGGTGCCAGCCACCACACCTGGCCAATTTTTTGTATTTTTAATACAGACGGGGTTTCACCGTGTTAGCCAGGATGGTCTCAATCTCCCGACCTCATGATCCACCCGCCTCGGCTTCCCAAAGTGCTGGGATTACAGGCGTGAGCCACCGCGCCCAGTGCCAACGATTATTTTTTAAAAGAATAGAAGACAGCATTGAAAATTTTGCAAGTCATCTGGAAATGAAGGGAAAATATAGCTCTATATGAAGCATGTATATATAGATAGATATCAACATATAAAAAATATATCAGCGTGTGTATTTATAAAAGAATGTTGAAGTTATTTGTATATAAAATTGCTTTCATATATTTGTATGGAAATAAAGAACAGTCTAGAGATAAGTATGTTCATATAACCTGAGTCTCAGTTCTTAGTCGAGTCATCTGTGGAATGTGGGTAGCAGGAATGATTTCAGGACGGATTGTGGTGATGATTAAAGGATATAATGTGTGAGGAAATACCTTGAACACTTTAAAAATACCTCAATAAACAGGCACTCTTGTCACAAACTGTATATATATAAATGCAGACGGCCAAGCTAGCTGGAGTTAACCACAGGAACCCCCTGTTTTCCGAGATGGAGCCTTTAAACCTGCACAGAAAGAATATGGATGATGGGAAAAGAGGAGCTGAAGGAGATAAAGATCATGAAGGTGGAGTCTGGTATTCCAACTGGGAAAAGGGCATAGAAGGCAAGTGCAGGTCGAGAGAGAAAGAGTTGAATGAACAGGAAGCAAATAGATTAGCTTAACCCAGGGGTGTCCCATCTTTTGGCTTCCCTGGGCTACACTGGAATAAGATGAATTGTCTTGAGCCACACACAAAATACGCTAACACTGGCCAGGCGCAGCGGGTCACGCCTGTAATCCCAGCACTTTGGCAGGCCATCACGGGCAGATCACTTGAGGTCAGAGTTCAAGACCAGCCTGGCCAACATGGTGAAACTCTGTCTCTACTAAAAAATACACACACAAAATTAACCAGGTATGGTGGTGGGCACCTGCAGTCCCAGATACTCGGGAGGCTGAGGCAGGAAAATCGCTTGAACCCAGGAGGTAGAGGTTGCAATGAGCCAAGATTGCGCCACTGCACTCCAGCCTGGGTGACAGAGCGAGACTCTGTCTCAAACAAACAAACAAAAAACAAACATACAAAACAAAACAAAAAAATACACTAACACTAATGAGAGCTGATGAACTAAAAAAAAAAAAAAAAATCTCAAAAAGATCTCATGATGTTTTAAGAAAGTTTATGAATTTGTGTTGGGTCACATTCAAAGCTGTCCTGGGCTGCATGCAGCCCACAGACTGTGGGATGGACAAGCTTGGCTTAATCATAACTTGCAAAATAAAAGCAAGCAAAGACACTAACCAAATCTATGAGCATCTTAAGGACCTCTTGAGGACTGTCCTGGTCTTCCATCCTCTTAGAACTGTTTTCTGAAGGGAGCATACCCAGGAGTCTCTGCCCAAAGGTCTTCTTACTCCTTGGTGATGGAAATCCTAAAATTGAACATGAAAATCCAGCTGAGACATTAAAATATCTTCACTGATATACTTCCAGCAAAAGAGGTAACTTGACCTCTAGGACAAGTGAGTCCAGGAGCACACAGTGGAATGTAGTGGGCAGAGCACGGCCTTCAGAGCCAGGAGCAATGCAGGTGAGAGGCAGCAAGACTGCCGCCCTAACATGCGGCACAGCCGCCCCTCAGCGCCAGCTGACGCAGAGGCCACACAAGAACACAGTCCATGTCACTGGATCATCACAGTCTTCAAGAGCAGCCAGAAATGCAGATCTGTCATGACATCTTCCAATTCTAAATGTCAGCCACTAGTCTTACTGTTTGAATACACTAAGCAGACCTAACAAAACATGTCTGCAGGCCACAGGGGTCTCTGAGCCATGCAAACTCTGCTTCTGAACCGCAAAGACCTGGACTCGAATCCTCATTTAGCCACTTACTAACTGTATGACCTCGGGTGAGTTTTCTCAGCTTGATTTCCTCATCTCTAAAATGAGAATAGTATTACTTTCTCCTCAGGGAACTGTGCCATTAAATAATAAATCACAGGGGCTGGGGAAGGGGAAGTGAGGAGTTACCGTTTCATGGGACAGGGTCTCTGTAAAGAAAGATGAAAATGCTCTGGAGCTGGATGGTGATGAAGGTAACATTACAATGTGAATGTACTTAATGCCACTTAAAAACAGGTCAAATAGTAGACTTCAGATATATCTTACCACCACCAAAACAAAACAAAACAAAAATACCACAATTGTCAAAGGCCCTGCCCAGGTATTAGCATAATAGTTAATATTTCACGTGCTGACATCACTGATGTCTTTCTTCATCCATTGAAGGGAAGTAATTTGCAGAAGGCACAAAATCCCAGATTGTACAAGGAAAATTTCAAGAATGTTTTTGGAATATTCTCCAAAAGTGGTTTACTGGGAAACTGAGAGCAGATGAGGGGAGATCCCCTTCCCACCAATCCTGACAGACCACGGTGACGAGGGTGGCGCTGACCCCTTCCATGAGGAGCTGTGGCAAACAGAAGTCAGAGAAACTGACACTTTGGTGAGTGGATGAATCTGTGTCCCTATTTTCAGTCTAAAAAAAGCAATAGCTCAGTGTGATGGCTCAAGCTGGTAGTCTGGAGGACTGCTTAAGCCCAGGAGTTTAAGACCAAAAAAAAAACCCCAAAAGTGAAAAATGAAGAAAGAAAGAAGTATGCTTATAAACTGCTTCTGAAAACTTGTCTAAACTGCCATATCAAAAAGAAAGGTGATATTAAAAGTGTTACTAAACATAAAAATAATCTGTATTACCCCGCACCTCTTCAGATTACTGAAATATACCAATAAAATGAATTAAAGTCTTGTCACTGAGAAACTGAGAAGGAACTACCGAAACTTGTATAGATTTATAAAGGTTGTGAGAGATTAATCATTTTTTTTTTTCTTTTGAGACGGAGTTTCGCTCTTGTCACCCAGGTTGGAGTGCAATGGCGTGATCTTGGCTCACTACAACCTCTGCCTCCTGGGTTCAAACGTTTCTCCTGCCTCAGCCTCCCAAGTAGCTGGGATTACAGGCTTGTGCCACCACACCCAGCTAATTTTGTATTTTAGTAGAGAATACTAAAAGTTACTAATACTGAAGTTGGTCAGGCTGGTCTCAAACTCCCGACCTCAGATGATCCACCCACCTCGGCCTCCCAGAGTGCTGGGATTACAGGTGTGAGCCACTGCCCCTGGCCATCAATTTTTTTTTGAGACAGGGTCTTGCTCCATCACCCAGGCTGGACTGCAGTGGTGGGATCATGACTCTCTGCAGCCTCAGCCTTCCAGGCTCAAGCGGTCCTCCCACTTCAGCCTCCCTAGTAGCTGGGACCATAGGTATATACCACCATGCTTGGCTAATTTTTTTTTTTTTTTAATACAGACAGAGTCTCCCTATGTTGCCCAGGCTGGTCTCAAACTCCTGAGCTCAAGCAATCCTCCTGCCTCAGGCTCCCAAAGCGCTGGGATTACAGGCATGAGCCACCATGCCCGGCCTAAATCAATTATTTAAAATTCTGACTTCAGTCTCTCTCAGTGCCTTACTAGAACTCAAATATTGGTAGCAATACCCCTCTGAATTGTAATTTTTGTGGGAATCTTCCTCAGGTTTGTCAATAGCTGAGTGTGACATTGTAATATAAGAAATATATATTTGGTCTTTGCCCTCAGTTCCTGACATAGAACTCCTAAAATCCTAGTAGATAGGGGTGTTAGGTGAATTTTTTCTCATAGTTGGTCTTTGACCCCAGTTCCTAACACATAATTCCTAAGAGTGTAATTTCCTGAGTGCGAGGAGCATCTGACACAGAGCCCCTAAATCCCTTGGTATTTCCTGGGTAATAGGAGCATCTTTTGTTCTATGAGGCTCTTGGTGGGCTCCTGGATAGCCTCAGGATGGGGGCTGGTTGTCAGGGGAACCAATCTTGTGATTAGAAAGCTGGAACTTTCAGGCCGGACGTGGTGGCTCACGCCTATAATCCCATCACTTTGGGAGGCCTAGGCGGGTGGATCACAAGGTTAGGAGATGGAGACCATCCTGGCTAACACGGTGAAACCCCGTCTCTACTAAAAATACAAAAAACTAGCCGGGCGAGGTGGCAGGTGCCTGTAGTCCCAGCTATTCAGGAGACTGAGGCAGGAGAATGGCGTGAACCCGGGAGGCGGAGCTTGCAGTGAGCCGAGATCCCGCGGTCACCACACTCGGCGGCGAGCAGAGCGACGACTCATCCTCAAAAAAAAAAAAAGGCAAAAGGAAAAGAACGAAAGCTGGAACTTTCCGCGAGACTCCAGGGAAGAGGAGGCTCGCAGGTTGCACGCTCGCTCCAAGCCCAGTGATGTAGCCCTCACAGACCTCCCCCATGTACCTGACCGCCTGGACTAGACCCCAACAGGGTCTGGGGAGCTTCCAGAGAGCTGAGCTGTGAGGTTCCTGAGGGGTGGTGCGCAGAGACGATCTTCCCACGTGCCCTTGCCCTGTCCATTAGTCGTCTCCCCGGCTGTTCAATCTTCATCTTCGTAAGATCCTATTATAATCTAAACCCGACGGTAAAGCTGGAAGTCCGTTCCCGGAGAGTTCTGTGGGAGTCCCTCCGCCGACTCAGCCTGCGCTCGCGGGCCAGTGTCACTCGACCGCCAGTCCACACCAGGGCGCGTGGGGCCGCCCACCCCCGTGCTTTTGCCTGGAATTTGCGCGCAGGGCCCCTCTGTCGGCCCTGAGCCTTTAACCTACGGGATCCGACTCTAACTCCCAGGTGGCAGGTGCGAGAATTGAGGGGCAATGATGCTCAACCACACGGCTGGTGTGTGGGGAGCCTCGTGTGCGAAGGCAACTGCGCCTGAGTGGTGAGTGCTAGTGAACAGGAAGAACCTTTGGTTTCTCCTGTCTCTTCCTAGAGAAATAGGAATTACTGGAACATCAAAGGAACCATATTTATCAGTGCTGAACATGATATGCATCTGCTCCTGAGCAAAGACATGCAGCTGTCTACTGCTCGCAGACTAACGACTCTAATGGCAAAGCCTCCATGCAGGTGGCGCAGCCTTGCATGCGGCTGAAGGGCCTGACTGGCTTGCATAAAGATACGAATTCCTTTAACCCTTGACTCTTCCTTTTGTTCTCGCTCTTCTTTTTCTTTTTTTTTTTTTTTTTTTGAAGAGGGAGTCTCACCTCTGTCACCCCCACAGGCTGGAGTCGGTGGCGCAATCTTGGCTCCTGCAAAGCCTCCGCCTCCCGGGTTCACGCCATTACTCCTCTGCCTCAGCCTCTCCAGCTAACCTGGGACTACAGGCCCGTCCCGCACCAGTGGGGGCCGGCCTAATATTTTGTATTTTTTTAGGTAGAGACGCCGGGCTTCACGCTGTTGCCAGGATTGTCTCGATCTCCTGACCTCGTGATCCACCCTTCTCGGCCTCCCAAAGTGCTCGGATTACAGGCGTGAGCTACCGTGCCTGGCCTGTCTCTTCTTTTTCCCATCACTTTTCTTTCCACTTCTATCAAAACAAATATTTACAATCTGACTTTCTAAGAAGATCTGCCCTCAATTAGCACAAAACACCAGGGCTGTCCTCAAAGAGGAGTTTACAATCCACCTGCTCTCAAGGGCTTGAGAGGAGGTGTCTGAGGAAGATCATCTACGCATAGATGTGGTCCATATTCTTAGTGTTTTCCACTGATTCCTAAAAGGCTAAATACATGGACCATGTTAGCTTTTTCCCTGGCAAAATCACCTACTCTGGGTTGAACATTCAAGTTGCACCATCAGCTTTTATCAAGAGATTATTATAGAAAATGACCATATTATCTAAATATATTATTTTGTATTTATTATAAGACACTGTTGGGCAGGTGCAATGGATCACATCTACAATCCCAGCATTTTGGGTGGCCGAGGAGGGAGGACCGCTCGAACCCAGGAGTTTGAGACCAGCCTGGGTAACACAGTGAGACCTCATCTCTACAAACAAATACAACATTTAGCCTGGCATGGTGGCACGTGCCTATAGTCCCAGCTGCTAGGGAGGCTGGGGTGGGAGGATTGCTTGAGCCCATGAGGTAGAGGCTGCAGTGAGTCATGATCACACCACTGCACTCCAGCCTGGGCAACAGGGCAAGATCCTGTCTAAAACAAAAAAGAAAAAAGCTAAAACATTGTTGGCAATTTGGCCATTATATTTTCTCAAAAGTTTCACGTCAGAAAACATTAATTTCAGGATAATATGAATGACTTTCTCAGAATGAGTGTTATAAAACATTATATTTTCCTGTTTTGCCCTGGCTTCCATCTAATGAACACTCCAAACATGGAGCTTCTATGATCTGCTTTTCCCTATTCTGTAGTTCTGATTTACTGCTTCTATTTCTATCACCCCTCTGCATCACTTCTTACCCTTTCCAGCAAAGAAAAGGAGGAAAGCTTAGTTAACGAAACTAAAATGCGTAACAGCTGACTCCTACACGATTAGTAATATATACTGTTTGAAAACAAATATTTCAAACAAAATGGCTATCTACTATAAAGGTTTCATTTTATGATGATGATTATTATTATTTTTTGAGATACAGTCTCTCGCTCTGTCACCCAGGCTGGAGTACAGTGGCGCGATCTTGGCTCACTGCAACCTCTGTCTCCCAGGTTCAAGTGATTCTCCTGCCTCAGCTTCCGGGAGTAAGCCTGGGAGGATTACAGTGTGATGCCATCATGCCCAGGACTACTTTTTGTATGTATTTATTTATTATATTTATTTATTTGAGACAGAGTCTCACTCTGTCGCCCAGGCTGGAGTGAAGTGGGGCGGATCTGTGGCTCCACTGCAACATCTGCCTTCCCGGGGTTCACACCATTCTCCGCCTCAGCCCCATGTAGCTCTGGCGCTAAAGGTGTCTGCCACATGCCCGGCTAATTTTTTGTACTTTTAGTAGAGACAGAGTTCACCATGTTAGTCAGGATCGTCTCTATCTCCTGGCCTCGTGGTCCACATGCCTCGGCCTCCCAAAGTGCTGGGGCATTACAGGTGTAAGCCACGTGGCCCGCCTAATTTTGTGTATTTTAGTAGAGATGGGGTTTCTCTCGGTTGGCCAGGCTGGCCTCGAACTCCTGACCTCAGGTAATCTGCCCGTCACAGTCTGCCAAAGTGCTGGGATTACAGGTGTGAGCCACCGTGCATGGCCAGGTTTCTTTTTTTATTTTTTATTTTTTTGAGACAGTTTTGCTCCTTACCCCAGGCTGGAGTACAGTAGTACAATCTTGGCTCACCACAACCTCCACTTGCCAGGTTCAAGCGACTCTCCTGCCTCAGCCTCCCAAGTAGCTGGGACTACAGGCACCTGCCACCACACCCAGCTAATTTTTGTATTTTTAGTAGAGGCAGGGTTTCACCATGTTGGCTGGGCTAGTCTCAAACTCCTGACCTCAAATGATCCACCCACTTCAGCCTCCCAAAGTGCTGGTGTGAGCCACTGCGCCCGGCCAGGTTTCATTTTAAATATTTTCTATGATGGTGTTCCCTTAAGATCATTTTAAAGCCGGGCGCGGTGGCTCAAGCCTGTAATCCCAGCACTTTGGGAGGCCGAGGCGGGTGGATCACAAGGTCAGGAGATCGAGACTATCCTGGCTAACATGGTGAAACCCCGTCTCTACTAAAAATACAAAAAACTAGCCGGGCGTGGTGGCGGGCGCCTGTAGTCTCAGCTACTTGGGAGGCTGAGGCGGGAGAATGGCATGAACCCGGGAGGCGGAGCTTGCAGTGAGCCGAGATCATGCCACTGCACTCCAACCTGGGAGCACAGCAAGACTCCGTCTCAAAAAAAAAAAAAAAAAAAAAAGATCATTTTAAATATTACGATATGTGTATTAGTCTTTCTAAATTCATCTGAATATAAGAGATATTAGAATTAGAATTATAGATCTGACAGATAAGAAAATATTTAGAAATACAGTCATCCTAGAATTTTTCTACAAAACATTTAAAATTCTTATAAACTTCACTTGACTCTTTCTCAACTGATAAATGGTTTCAAATTATAATTTGAATTTTAAATTGAAGCAATATGAATTCTACAGAATACTGATAAATAAAAATTGATATCAACTAAGAGAAACTAAGATTTCTAAAAAATAACAGCTACTTTGTTTATACTGGAAGATCTACTTCATTTCTCTCACGCTATTTTAATATATTTTTTAATACATGGATATAATAATACTCAATTGATCATTAACTTTTTTTTTGAGATGGAGTCTCATCGTGCCAGTGCAGTGGCACGATCTCAGCTCACTGCAACCTCTGCCTCCTGGGTTCAAGTGATTCTCCTGCCTCAGCCTCCTAAGCAGCTGGCATTATAGGCATGTGCTACCACACCCAGCTAATTTTTGTGTTGTTAGTAGAGATGGAGTTTTGTCATGTTGGCCAGGCTGTTCTTGAACTCCTGACCTCAGGTGATCCACCCTCCTCGGCCTCTCAAAGTGCTGGGATTACAGACGTGAGCTGCCGCACCCGGCCTGGCCATAAACTTTTGATGGGCTCATGAACCAAAACCTAAACCTAAATTTCTGCTTCATTTTTTCTAAGAATATTTTACTAATTTGTCCAACCTAAGGTTTTTCCTGTACTCCTCAATTTCCTTCCCAGAAGCATACATTTCAATAAAGTTTAATTAGATAAATCCATTTAATGTCATGTTTCAATGACATTTTTCACATTACTTCCTTCTTGGCAGTCTCCCTTTAATCACCGAGCACTTTTATTATAAAGTTTTTGCACTAAACATGGTCTTATTTAAATGAAACAGAAGAGTACTAGAAAAGGGATATTCCTGTTATGTTACGGTTTGTAGATTCCAGTAGTTCATCTGCACATGTAATATCCAATGACTCCTCTTTTCCATAGTTGCTAAATATTTAAGTAAACCATAACCATATGTGAAGTTTCAATTATATTTGCCCACACTGGATTAAGTGTGCTTTATCAACTTGTATTATAAACAAAACAACTAAAATTACACCTACTTATTGCCATTATAATTCATAGTTACCATCCTCTTTAAGGTGCTTCCAATTCATCCATTTTGTTGCTTTTTTACACATTTTAGCCATTTGTGTCAATTGTAGTGCCTGGTCATTTTTTCTCATTAATTGTTGCTCAAATGCAATTCTGAAAGAATCTGCCATCATGTAAGCTTCTTCTTTACTCTTCTGCAAAAGTTCCAACTGGTTTTGAAAGAAAGTTTGGGAGGTGTTAGAGGCAAAACCAGAGCAATTCTTGCTGAATCAAATTAACACATGCAATCTCCCCGCCTAGCACTGGTCTATTGCCTGTGTTTGATCTAGTTTATCTGCTTACACTAATTAATACTTGCTACTTCTGCAGTAGCAATTTACTCTGATCCAGATTATCAGCAGTTTCCCTTGTGATGCCTGTCAATTGCCTGGTAATCTAACCCCTGGACCTCACTACCCCACGCAGGCCCTGTGTGTGTGTCCTGCTCAAGTCCTTGGAGAAAGGGCCCAGCATGAAAGATAGGAGGATGCCAAAGGCTGCATTTCAACTCAGCTTTGGCCATTCCAGACTACACCACTGAAAATAATGATGAATACCACCTTTCAAATACTTCTCATAGATGACCTTGACTTTGATCAATGTAATCTCATGTTTTTCTTTTTCTTTTCTTCTACTTTCTCCTTCTCCTTCTTCTTCTTTTTTTCTTTTTAACGGAGACTTGCTCTGTCACCCAGGCTGGAGTATAGTGTTACGATCTCAGCTCACTGCAACCTCCGCCTCCTGGGTTCAAGCAATTCTCCTGCCTCAGTCTCCCGAGGAGCTGGGACTACAGGCACATGTTGCCATGCCTGGCTAATTTTTTGTATTTTAGTAGAGATGGGGTTTCACTGTGTTGCCCAGGCTGGTCTTGAACTCCTGAGCTCAGGCAATCCGCCTGCCTCAGCCTCCCAAAGTGCTGGGTTTACAGGCATAAGCCACCACGCCCGGCCTTTTTTTGTTTTTGTTTTTGAGACAGGCTCTCTCACTCTGTCACCCAGGCTAGAGTGCACTGGTGTGAACATGGCTCACTGTAACTGTGACGTCTTAGGCTCAAGTGACTCTCCCACCTCGGCCTCCCAAAGTGCTGGGATTACAGGCGTAACCCATTGTCCCCTCATGTTTTTCTTAATGAATGGCTACTGTCCAACTGTTGGCTTTCCTATATACTTTAAAGACTTTATTTTGGCTGGGCACGGTGGCTCATACCTGTAATCCCAGCACTTTGGGAGGCCGAGGCGGGCGGATCAAGAGGTCAGGAGTTCAAGACCAGCCTGGCCAACACAGTGAAAGCCCATCTCTACTAAAAATACAAAAATTAGCCGAGAGTGGTGGCAGGCGCCTGTAATCCCAGCTACTCAGGAGCCTGAGGCAGAGGATCACTTGAACCCAGGAGGCGGAGGTTGCAGTGAGCCGAGATTGCACCACTACATTCCAGCCTGGGCGAGACAGTGAGACTCCGTCTCAAAACAAAACAAAACAAAAAACAACAACAACAAAAAAAAACCACTTTAATTTTTAAGAATTTAATTGTGTCCTATTTTATTCTATTTTAAGTTCTAGGATACAGGTGCAGGATGCAGGTTTGTTACCTAGGTAAACGCGTGCCATGGTGGTTTGCCACACCTAAGGACTTTAAATTCCATACCTTCAATAAAGGTAAAACATTTTAGAATTATGGTCTATGTACTACTGTATTTATACGTAAAGATCAAATATAATGGCAGCTATCATTTGAATTAATGTTTGGGATGTTCCTGATGCTGTGCTAAACATGTTATGTCTATTTCCTCACAAAAACCATCCAAGGTAGTTATTACCCTCTACTTAACATAGTAGGAAAACTGAGACCTACCCTGTCCAAAGCCACACAGCTACTAAATGGTGGAGCAAAGATGCAAACCTAGGTCTGGCTGGTACAAAGGTTCCTTTCACTGTGCCTTGCTGCTGCTGTTCAAATACACTCCATGCTTATCTCTCCATTAATCAGTGTTGCTGATCCTAGTGATTTTAAGCATAAATGTACATTTTCCTTCTATTATATAGTAATTTTAGGGCCATGTACAGATGAGAACAATATAAATTTTAGGAATATTAATTATACACTTAGGCAAACGACTTTAGGCTTCAAATATCATGCCAAGTACTTTTTTTTTTTTTTTTTTTTTTTGAGAAGGAGTTTCGCTCTTGTTGCCTAGGCTGGAGTGCAGTGGTGCAATCTCGGCTCACTGCAACCTTTGCCTCCCCAGTTCAAGGGATTCTCCTGCCTCAGCCTCCCAAGTAGCTGGGATTACAGGTGCCTGCCAACACACCTGGCTAATTTTTTGTGTTTTTAGTAGAGACGTGGTTTCACCATGTTGGCCAGGCTGGTCTTAAACTCCTGACCTCAGGTGATCTGCCTGCCTTAGCCTCCCAAAGTGCTGGGATTACAGGCATGAGCCCCTGCACCCTGTCCCAAGTACTATTAATATTTGTATTTTGGAACCAGGTAAACAAAATCCAGTTGATAAGCTGATGCTATCACATAAAAACTAAGCATAAGTTCCATAGTCAATAACTACTAAAATGAAGTTAATTATTGCAAACATGTCCATTTATTCTGCTATTAACAGAGAAACAAAACTAAAGCTTTTGCTGTTGTGATAATGCAATACCTCTTGTTTGAGCTGAAGAAGCAGTTTCCGAGTGGACGCTGCCATTCTGGCACAAGAACAGGGGTTCCCTCCGGGCCCATGACAAAGGCAGGCTCCGAGGACTGCAAGCTTTGAATTGAAAAACATGACTCCTGTTACTAAGTGTTGCACTGTTTTAGCTGCACACAAACACAGAGGCATTTATGCACATACCCATGCACACTACTACTCAGGCATCTGATCCAAAAAAACTGGAAAGAAAAAAAAATAGAAGAAAGCTGAGACTGGGATCTTAGAATACAAATGGAAATTAACTACAAACAACGAAAAGAATGTCATGATTTGGAATACAGAAGGGAATTTCACTTTCCTTCATCTCACTCTTAAAACCTTTAATCCTGGCACCACTCTCCTACAGGTCTGAGTCCTTGGCAGGAGTTTAGCCTAACAATATGGTTAACACTAACATCTACAGCACACCTTTCCTGTGACAGTGGCCCTGATGCCCGGCATTCACTACTGCCAATTTCCTCTAAGGAGAGTCATTTACTCAGAAATGCCAAGGGAATTTAAATATATCAATGAGAAAAACAGTCATCCCTCCACTCCTAAAAAAATTTTTTTAAATATGATTCATTCCTGTGTAAAAGAATAGAACTTTAGCACCATCCAAACTTATGCCAAGGATGAAGTTAAGCCCTGGAGACTGAGTCAGGCAGCATGTTTGAAATTCTGCTTCTAGATTAGAGAGTAACCCTCTTCCTTGTTGCTCTTGTTCTGTAAATGAGGAGGAGAGACCAGAGACCAGACCTTTCTGCTTCCATCACTGACCTCTGTTATAGATTAGCTGTCTTATTTTCCTATACCTAACTCAGACTAGATGACTTCCAAAAGAACCCCAGGGCTGTTACATTTTCAGTGTGGAATGTTAAATATACCTTCCCCGAAAGAAAACAATCACCTCAACTAATAAGATCTCTGTAACTACGCACTAAACCATACCATCAAAAGATGCTGAAATTCTGTTAAACTTCCCTAAACATTGTCCATATAGCCCAGCCCAAACTTCTACACTTTAGAACACCGGCTGTTTTTTTTTTTTTTTTTTTTTTTTGAGACAGAGTCTTGCTCTGTTACCCAGGCTGGAGTGCAGTGGCGCAATCTCGGCTCACTGCAAGCTCCACCTCCCGGGTTCACACCATTGTCCTGCCTCAGCCTCCCGAGTAGCTGGGACTACAGGCGCCCGCCACCATGCCCGGCGAATTTTTTTAGTAGAGACGGGGTTTCACCTTGTTAGCCAGGATGGTCTCGATCTCCCAACCTTGTGATCTGCCTACCTTGGCCTCCCAAAGTGTTGGGATTACAGGCGTGAGCCACCACGCCCGGCCTAAAACACTGACTTCTTTGGAATCTGTGCCTCCCTGGGTGATCCATCCTCAACTTTTGTGCTTGAATAAACTCTTTAAACTAGATTCTGGCCACGCGTGGTGGCTCATGCCTGTAATCCCAGCACTTTGGCAAGCCAAGGCAGGTGGATGACCTGAGGTCAGGAGTTCGACACCAGCCTGACCAACATGGTGAAACCCCATCTCTACTGAAAATACAAAAATTAGCCAGGCGTGGTGGCTCATGCCTGTAATTCCAGCTACTTGGGAGACTGAGGCAGGAGAATCGCTTGAACGCAGGAAGCAGAGGTTGCAGTGAGCTGAAACCGTGCATTGCACTCCACCCCGGGCAACAAGAGTGAAACTCTGTCACAAAAATAAATAAATAATAGATTCTGATCCCTTTGATTATTTTTGGTTGACACTTGGTTGACCACTGTAGTTTGAAGATAAGTAGTATAATAATTTTACTTTTTAAAACTCCACTTTAAAAGCTAACCACAAGTGGGCCAGGCATGGTGGCTCATGCCTGTAATCCCTGCACTTTGGGAGGCTGAGGCGGGTGTATCACCTGAGTTCAGGAGTTCGAGACCAGCCTGATCAACATGGTGAAACCCCACCTCTACTAAAAAATATAAAAATTAGCTGGGCATGGTGGTGGGTGCCTGTAATCCCAGCTACTTGGGAGGCTGAGGCAGGAGAATCGCTTGAACCCGGGAGGTGGAGGTTGCAGTGAGCTGAGATTGTACCATTGTACTCCAGCCTGGGCAACAGAGCAAGACTCCGTCTCAAACAGAAAGCTAACCACAAATACTTTCCCAACATATTCCAGTATGTACCAATTTCACAGGGGCATCATACAACATAGTGCACCATATATTTTATTTTATTCTTATTTATTTATTTTTGAGACGGAATCTCGCTCTGTCACCTAGGCTGGAGTGCAGTGGTGCAATCTCAGCTCCCTGCACCTTCTGCCTCCCAAGTTCAAGCTGAGATTACAGGCATGTGCCAACATACCCCCAGCTAATTTTTTTTTTTTTTTTTTTTTTTTTATTTTTAGTTAGAGATGGGGTTTCACCATGTGGTCAGGCTGGTCTCGAATCCCTGACCTCAAATGATCCACCTGCCTCAGCCCTCCAAAATGCTGGGATTATAGGTATGAGCCACTGCAAACAGCCTGCGCCATATTTATTACTTATTTTATTTATTTTTTTTGAGAGGAGATTTTGCCTTGTTGCCCAGGCTGGAGTGCAATGGCGTGATCACCGGCTCACCGCAACCTCGTCTCCAGGTTCAAGCAATTCTCCTGCCTCAGCCTCCCAAGTAGCTGGGATTAAAGGCATGCGCTCATCACGCCAGGCTAATTTTTGTATTTTTAGTGAAGACGGGTTTCTCCATGTTGGTCAGGCTGGCTCAAAACTCCCTGACCCTCAGGTGATCTGCCTTACCTCTGCCTCCAAAGTGCTGGGATCACAGACATGATCCACCGCGGCCCGGCCCATATATTTTTAAGTTTCATATGGGCTAGGTGTGGGTGGCTCACACCATGTATCCCAGCACTTTGGGAGGCAGAGCAGGCAGATAGCTTGAGCCCAGGAGTTTGAGCCACCTGGGGGGGGCAACAATGAACCGCTTGTCTCTACAAAACAAAAGAAAAAAAAAATTAGCTGGGTATGATAGTGGTGTGCACCCATAGTCCCAGCTATTTAGGAGGCTGAGGTCAGAGGATCACTTGAGCCCAGGAGGTCTAAGCTGCAGAGAGCCATGAGTGTGCCACTGTACTCCAGCCTGAGCTACAGAGTGAGGCCCTGTCTCAAAAACAAAACCAAACCAAAAAAATAATAATAATTAAAGTTTTGTGTGGAATGTACTATAAAATTGTTATCTAAGCATCTTCCTGTTGCTGTACATTTCACATGGATGAGCTGACATAAAATATAATCCTATTTTAGAGGCTTTTCAGAGAGTAAAATTCCACTGCCTCCCTTAGTGTAAAGGCCATTTCGGAACATTCTTTCTCACATCAGCGATAACCGTGAGGCACGGGGTGAGCTTTCAGTTGAGCTGAATGTACAAATGGTGGATCTGTGGCAGAAAGGTCTTTTCCCTTTCCATTTTCCTACTCCTGATAACCGCCCATGCCTAAATTGCCAAAAGCAACCAAGACCTGGGAAGGGCCAATATAAATCATGACAGGTTTCAGCCAGGACCCCTAACTCCCAGTGCTACTTCTTACCTCAGTGCTCCCTCATCAGCTGGGTCAGGGCCCTTGTTCCTGCCTGGCTGGAGGTAAGGCTGGCCCACAGTCTACTCAAGAGTATCATAAAACACCCTGTCCCTAAACTTTCTTTAAGCTGTTTCTTGTATTTTTTTTTTTTCTTTTTGCTATTACACTAGTTTTCCACCCATGGCAGCAGAACAGGGTGCTCAAAAGCGCAGACTGTAAGCTCAGTCTACAGGCTGCAAATCCCAGCTCCACGACACACTAGCTGTGTGACACCAGGCAAATTACTTAACCCCTCAATGCCTCTGTTACCTCATTTGTGAAGTGGGGATTATAACAGTACCCACTTTATGGGGTAGTTGTGTGGACTAAATATATCAACGTATGTAAAGCACTTAGAACATCATCTAAACTTGTTCAGGACTTTGCAGGTATTTGCTATTATTATTACCAATTTTTCCTAAGTTCTACAATAAGTGCATGGCTGCCCCCTCTCACTCTACTGCTCCATTATTTTTGTATGAGTCCCAGGCCCCTTCTGACCTCATTAGCCAAACTCCCACATTGCCAGCCATTGGCATTGCACCAGCAGATTTTTGTTCTGAACCTGGCTTTACCACAGATTGACCTTGCCACCTCAGGAAAGTAACTGAACTAATTTGAGCCTTAGTTTCCTCTTCTCTAAAATGGGGATAACACCTGCTTTGCAGCCCTCACAAGACTCCGATGAAGATCAGATATAACAATGTGTACGAAAGCACTCAAATGGTAAGCCCCGACCCAGCTGTGAGACATTACCAACACAGCTTCTGCTAGAACCGTAAAGATAAGAAATAAACGGGGCAGAAGTGGCCAGCACATGTCCTCATGTCCAAGAATGTCCTGTGTGAAGGGCATGGAACCAGCAAGACTGGAAGAGCCGACCTGGGCAAACCCAGGGGCCTCTCTCACTCTCATCCTCAAATTGCTAAGTATGTGCTATCCTAGAACGTGTACACAAAGGCAATGGGGCAAAGAAAAGGAAAGTAGAAAATGTCCCTTCTGTTCAGCTTTTCCACATGCTTACCTACCTCAAGACCTGAAGCCTCTGCAAAGCCACTTTTATCACAGCACATGTTTTCCTGAGCCATCTTCTGCTGTTTGACGTCAAGCATGGCAAGGGCCTCCAAATACTGTTGATTCAAAACTAGGAAGGGCCATATGAGAAAATATTCATTATGAAGCCTAACTCCAGCCGTATCCAATCTAGTTACCCCAACATCACATACTCATTTCGTACAAGCAATACACTACCCACAAGATCTGGCTCCATTCAGAAAAACCTATCTGATAGAATAGTGAGTATCATGTAAGATCATATATATATGTAATACTAGATGAGATGATGTCATTTCCGTGTATGGAAAAGCATCTTAACTTTGCAACTGAAGTCGGATTCCTATTTCCTCTTGGAAACTTTGAAGGATTTTCCAAAAGGGAATGTGTAAAAGCAAATTATTCAGAGACTTTATGGTTAGTGAGAAAACTGGATGGTGAGATCTCATATATTGTATTCCTGTCAGACATACCAGCTATCCAAGCTCTATCAGGTTTTTGTTTTAGGAGTTTTCACAAGAAGATCTCAAACCAAACATTTAGAACAAGAGGGGTCCTGCTGTCTACTGGGGAGCAGAAAACAGAGTCTTTTCCCCGTCACTGCAGGGTGGAGTGTTAGGACAGAAGGGGAGGACTTGTGATTGTGAGCAGCTTCTCTCCTGAACTTATCTAACACAGGAGGCATCCTTATCAGCTGGAGTCCCTGGTGCTGCGAAGCACCAGCTGTGTGTGCAGACTTCAGCTGGAGGCATTTATACAACTTAGCTAAGACACAGCATAAAGTGCTGCTCTCAGCCCCAGGACCTAATTTAGAGCTTTTTTTGTCCTTTTCTTCTTTTTTTCCTTTCTTTTCTTTGTTTAAGAGACAGGGTCTTGCTCTGTCACCCAGGCTGGAGTGCAGTGGTCCAATCATAGCTCACTGCAACTTCAAACTCCTGGGCTCCAGGGATCCTCCCACCTTCACCTCTCAAGCAGCCAGGAAGTTGCAGTGAGGCGAGATTGCACCACTGCACTCCAGCCTGGGTGACAGAGCAAGACTCCCTCTCAAAAAAAAGCCAGGTGCATGCTACCATGCCTGGCTAATTTTTGTTTATTTTTTGTAGAGGAGAAGTCTTGTTATGTTGCCCAAGTTGGTCTAGGACTCCTGGCCTCAAGCAATCCTCTCCCCTTGGCCTCCCATAGCACTGGCATTACAGGCATGAGCAACAGTGCCTGGCTTGTGTTTTGTCCTCTTCAAGCCACCTCTTTTATTTCTGCTAAGAAGAAAGAACTAGCCTCTTCTCTAAGTTTTTAGGGCTGGGTGCAGGGGCTCACATCTGTGATCCCAGCACTTTTGGAGGCAAAGGTGGGAGGATTGCTTGAGCCCAGGAGTTGAGCCCTCACAAAGTGAGGCACCCCCATCTCTACAAAATTTTTTTTTAATGTTGCACTTTGGGAGGCCAAGGCAGGCAGATCACCTGAGGTCAGGAGTTCAAGACCAGCCTGGTCAACATGGTGAAACCCCGTCTCTACAAAAAAACAAAAATATTAGCTGGGCATGATGGCAGGTGCCTATAATCCCAGCTATGCAGGAGGCCAAGGTGGAAGAATCACTTGAACCCAGGAGGAGGTTGCAATGAGGTGAGATTGCACCACTGCACTCCAGCCTGGGTGACAGAGCGAGACTCCATCTAAAAAAAATATATATATATATATATAAAAATATATATATATGTATAATCTCGGCATGGTGGTGGGTGTCTGCAATCCCAGCTACTCAGGAAGTAGAGGCAGGAGAATCACTTGAACCTGGGAGGCGGCGGTCATAGTGAGCTGAGATAGTGATGCTGAGATTGTGCCACTGCACTCCAGTCTGGGTGAAAGAGTGGAGATTCTATCTCAAAATAATAACAATAATAATATATACTTTTTTATTAGCTGGACATGGTGGAACACGCCTGTAGTACCAGCAACTTGGGGAGGCTGACGGGGAGATCTCTTGAGCCCAGAAAAGTGGAGGTTGCAGTGAACTGAGATTTGGTTACTGCACTCCAAACTGGGCCAACAGAGCAAAGCCCTGTGTGAAAATAAATAAATAAATAAAATATGTAATAAGTTAACATCATGTCAGACACATGTGCTCACGCCTGTAATCCCACACTTTGGGGGCCAAGGTGGGTGGATCATTTGAGGTCAGGAGTTTTGAGACCAGCCTGGCCAACATGGTGAAACCCTGCCTCTACATATACAAAAATTAGCCAGGCATGGTGGTGGGCACCTGTAGTCCCCAGCTACTTGGGAGGCTGAGGCAGGAGGATCGCTTGAACCAGGAGGTGGGAGTTGCAGTAAGCTGAGATGACACCACTGCACTCCAGCCTGGCAACAGAGTGAGATTCCATCTCAAAAAATAAAAGGCCAGGTGCAGTGGCTCACGCCTGTAATCCCAGCACCTTTGGGAGGCCGAGGCGGGGCGATCACGAGGTCAGGAGATTGAGACCGTCCTGGGCACAAATGATGAAACCTCCATCTCTACTAAAAATACAAAAATTAGCTGGGCATGGTGGCGTGTACCTTTAATCCCAGCTATTCAGGAAGCTGAGTCAGAAGAATTGCTTGAACCCAGGAGGCGGAGGTTGCAGTGAGCCGAGATTGAGCCACTGCACTCCAGCCTGGCAACAGAGTGAGACTCCGTCTCAAAAAAAAAAAAAAAGATTTAACATCAGGTGCTCTACCATTTTGGCGTT